TAGTTCGGTGGGTCTGTGGAGTACTCGATATTCCTGCACTATACACCCATTCACACTCACTTTCGCGCCAATAAATACATTCGTTTTGCACAAAACACACAAAGAGAAAATAACCTAGTTCGGTGGGTCTGTGGAGTACTCGATATTCCTGCACTACACACCCATTCACACTCACTTTCGCGCCAATAAATACATTCATTCTGTACAAAACCCACAAAGAGAAAATAACCTAGTTCGGTGGTTCTGTGGAGTACTCGATATTCCTGCACTACACGCCCATTCACACTCACTTTCGCGCCAATAAATACATTCATTCTGCACAAAACACACAAAGAGAAAGCTAATCTAGTTCGGTGGGTCTGGGGGTACTCGATATTCCTGCACTACGCGCCCATTCACACTCACTTTCGCGCCAATAAATACATTCATTCTGCACAAAACACACAAAGAGAAAATACCCAGTTCGTTGGGTCTGTGGAGTACTCGATATTCCTGCACTACACACCCGCACACACACACGCGCGCGCACACACATTAATACCACGCCAATAAATACACTCACTGCAGGAAGGGAAAAAACCACGTGTGGCAAAACCATCAAAGACGACCATATGCATCTATTTACTTCAAATATTATTGCTAATGTGTTTTTTTTATTTATTAATATTTGCCAAACTTTCTATTTTATAATAATTATGTAATTTATTTAAAAAATGTTTCTGGTTCCTATAGAGCTCTTGGACAAGTGTCAATTTTTACGACCTAGTATCACCAAAAAAATTCAAGCCTTACTGCCTAGTTGTTTTTGTTTAAAAACAATTCTGTAAAGAAAATATTAATACATCCTCTTGTATAATTCGTTGAAAGCGAGGTCCAAAACTAAAAGGGCGAATGCGATTTTGTATTTATTAATATTTGCCAAAATATCCATTTTATAATAAGTGTGTAATTTACTCAAAACATTTTTACGGTTCCTAGGGGGCAAGAGCTCTAGGACAAATGTCTAATATTTTACGACCGAGTATCACCAAAAAATTTTTTTTCAAGCCTTACTGCCCTAGTTGTTTTTGTTTACAAACAATTCAGAAAAAAATGCATATATCCTATTGTACAACTCTTTGAGAGCGAGGTCCAAAACTAAAAGGGCGAATGCGATTTTGTATTTATTAATATTTGCCAAACTTTTCATTTTACAATAGTTTTAATTTATGATTATTCGGAAATCTTGAGATGCGGTCTGGCTTGACGTAGGTTTCAGAAATACATTTTCTTTGTCGTGCCAACGTTTCGATCTTTATTGGTATCATCTTCAGGGCCTGGGATTTACAAACATTGTTTAAATTTAACAAATACATGTAGGATGTGGAAAAAAGTGAATTTATACAACGCAAAAAAAAATTATATTCAATCAAAGTATTTCTACTCACTCAAAGCGTTTGTTTTCTGTGTAATTGTGCCATTCTTGTGTGTCGTGTTGAGTGTGCCAGTGAGATGCTGTTTTATGTTTATATACGTTGGATTTTGAAGGGGTGAGGAAGGAAATTCTGTAAATTTCTGTCCCGATTTCCTTCCCCACCCCTTCAAAATCCAATGTATATAAACATAAAACGGCATCTCACTGGCACACTCAACACGACACACAAGAATGGCACAATTACACAGAAAACAAACACTTTGAGTGAGTAGAAATACTTTGATTGATTATAATTTTTTTTTGCGTCGTATAAAATTTAAACAATGTTTGTAAATCCCATGCCCTGAAGATGATCTCAATAAAGATCGAAACGTTGGCACGATAAAGAAAATATGTTTCTGAAATCTACGTCACACCAGACCACATCGACTTACGGTCACTAATCACCACACGTTTTAATTTATTTTGTTTAACGCAATTGTGAGTACTTTAGTGTTCGATGTGTTCTTCGCCATCTAGTCATTTAACACAAGCATTTTTGTTCTATTAATAAAATTTCATCTCTTCTTTAATCTATTTTCTACGAGAATAAATATCGTAGATTAATTGCGCAAATATTTTTTTTTAATTGTTTACGGAGGTTCTCGTTAAACCCTCTGTTTGTAATCTTTAATCCCTCTTATCGCTTATTGTAAATTTATGATGTTTATTGCTCATATTTTTCTCCCTTCCTCTGAAGCTAGAAGTCGTTAATAATCTTTTACATTACAAAATTTAAAAGATATAAAACGGCTTTCTCCGTTGCAATTTTCCCCCCTTTGAAACTTTTTTTTTGTTTCTAGTGTGAAAATAATAAGCTATTGTATTTATATATTTTTTAAACTTTGACAAGAGTGGTAAACTAAAACACGAGATTATTTCTTAAAGCGTCATCTCGTAAATCCGTATATTTATTTTTAAAATGTGGTCCGAAATAAACGCGCTGACCCCTCCCATAGGGTCAACCGTCAAAACTAACGAAAAGGCTGCATCTGAGGATCAAACTCCCGGATTCAACACAAAATAAATGTCATTTAATCTTAGACTCAGTATTAATTGGGAACGATGAAGGATTAAAGGTTTTTCGGGCTGAACTTATCTTTGTTTATTATCGTTATATAATGGTTTAATCAGTTATCCTCTTGGGGGAAAAAATAAATACTTATACGAAAAGATATCCATTTTAGTATCTGGATCGTTGAAATTAACAAGTGTTATTTTTAAAACAAGTTCAATTACGCCATATAAGTCATATCAGGCAGAATTACACCCCAGGATTTGCCGGTTTTGAACTGATCGACACTCCTCTGGGTCCGTTTATTTTCGCTACATTCTTCCACATACCAAGAAAAATGATCAGTCGATCTGTTCAACATCGGCTGTAATTATACCAACGTCGCCAACTTTAATTTTTTGTCTTGTTACAACAAAGTACATTTTTGTTCAGCTATTTTCCTAGTTTTATTTATTTATTTTAACGCCGTCCTGGAAAAGAAACACTTGTCATATAGAATGAGAGTTATGAAAGCTTTTGAAACCTTTCAAAATAAGATTTACTACTAATAAAATTAAAAATAATTCCAGTTTCTACCCATTCTGATGTACTTTTGATTTTTTTTCTTGAACCTTTTCAAAATTGGATTTTTCTTGTGTTTTATTAATACTTTTAGTCCGAAAAATTGAAGACAAAGTGGCATAAGTCAGTGAGCAACTTGACAATCATTCTGCTACAAGGAAATTTTTTAAATTATAATTACAGTCCGGGGGGCGCAACGGTTTAGGCGTTGACACGGCGCTCATCACTGTAAGGTAAAGGTCCCGGGTTCGAATCCGACATACAAATGGGCTTTTTTTTCAAAAACACCGGCACCCCGAGGGTTGATGATGAACCTCTGCTGTTGCGAACCCTCGTTAAAAAAACAACAACAGTAAACCAGCCCGGATATGGAAATCTTCCAGAGAGTAACAGGCTCATCACCCGGACTGAACGTGGTAAAAAATCCCTTTCGTCGCATACAAGAAAGGTTGGCTCAAAATGGCGGGTTTTATTAAATACCCAAACTTTGGAAACTCTAGCATAAATCAATAGATGTTCTGGCCTAATAATTAGTTTTGTACATAAATGGTCGCACTTCATGGCACGGTTATAAATAAATAATCGGCAATCAGACTTGCTCCCGACCTCGCTCTTTCAGACTACTACTCCAATCCGTTACATTGTTTTATCCGAGGAGAAACATTCACGAATTGCTGGCTTGTTATGGCAAGGTTTTCAAATTTGGAGTACCAGCATATGATTTAGGTACTGGGACAAAGTTTCATAATTTGTGGAATAACTTTAAAACCTTTCACTGTTGTAATAAAAACTAAGCAAAACGACAAAATATGTAGATTAATTAATTAATCATTTTATGTAAAGTTTTGGTTGAAATGAAAAAGCTAGTGTCACGAGCGGGATTCGAACCCACGACCTTCGGCTAAATACGCCGCTGCTCTACCACTTGAGCTATCGTGACTTCGATCCACTCGGATACCAACTCTCCATCTCAACCTACAACCGTTCGAATTTTCCGTCTTTTTGCCATTTTCAAATATCGTGTAAGCGGATTGGATTCTCAGCGACTAATGAAGTGGCCGCGGGGAGATGTTTCGTGAAGTGATACTTCTTTTTACTTTTTAAATATTAATCCATTTACGTTTTCGTAGTCAATTGACTAAGTTACTTCTTTCAATCAATTAATTATTCTTTCTAAGGTTTGGGTCGAGATAAATATGTTCATTTGAAAATGGCAAAAAGAGAGAAAATTCGAACGGTTGTAGGTTGAGATGGAGAGTTGGTATCCGAGAGGATCGAAGTCACGATAGCTGAAGTGGTAGAGTAGGGGCGTATTTCGCTGAAGGTCGTCGGTTCGAATCCCGCTCGTGACACTGACTTTTTTATCTCGAACAAAACCTTAGACAGAATAATTAATTGATTGAAAGAAGTAAAACTTAGTCAATTGACTACGAAAACGTAAATGGAAAAATATTTAGAATTTTAAATTTCAGTGCTGGGAGAATAAAAAAAGATGGTAATGTCATCAAATTCCACACTTCAATGCACAATCGACTGGTTAATTTCACATTTTCATGCATTCCTCTTTTCTTTTAATACTCTGTAATTGTACGTTTACATCTTTTCTTTTGATTCTATGGCAGGAAAATTGTTTAACCCGGAAAATAAATATTTGGCTTTTGACAGGAGCAGAAAGCCGAAGCCCAATCGTCCTAATCGTTCCAGCCAATGCAAATTTGGCAAAGGGGATCGCTTAGATCTGGCATGTAAATAAATTTGATTACAAACGGCTGTTTTATAAGAGGAATCAGGGAGAAGGCTAAACAAATGATGTTCCCTTTTCCTTTAATCGGATTGATCTATTGATTCCCAGATGGCATAATGGCTTATTTACGACTTCAACGGGCTAATCCTGGAAAAAGACGCGTATCATTTTCCTTCCCAGACCCATTAAAGGGATTCGGAACAAATAAAAAATAATAAAAAACTTACTTATCTCTTTCCAGTCTTCGTCGCTGGTCGCGTAATGGACCAAGTTGCCGATCGATATGAAGCCCAGAGATGCTGTCACCGTGTCAATCACCTGGAAAAACAAACGCAAAGATGATCAGTGCTGGCAGGAAGCGAGACCTATTAGCCTCTGATCCGCTCCGCAATGGTCCAGAAATAAATTTAGTCTTTACAGCCACAGCAGTAAAGATAACTTTTACTGCGACTTGGAGTCAGAAGAAGAAGAAAAAAAACATATTTAGCATGAAAAGGAAGATCAAAGTCATAATAAGCAAATGGATCTACAAAAATAGACAACCATGACCAGATAGAGTAGAACCGAAGTCAATAAAAAATGATAAGACAAAAATAAATTACAATCAATTACATTAAACGTAGAAAACCAAGCCTTTTTGATCTGAATCTTTAAATATAAGAAGATAAATACAGACAAGAATAAGGTTTGTTGAATTATACGAAATTCGCCAAAAGCAATAATGACCGCCTTTAACTGTTTCTTTAGACACAACCCTTATAAACAAAAATGAAAAAATAAACACGCATATAAACAATGTAAAAACATTATAGTACATAAAATATATTTCTTGTAAACATTAACTATTTATACCACTTTACATGATTTATATCGACCATTATTCATCCTCATACTGTTTTTTCGTTTGTTTAATTTTTTATGGTTAATGGCAAAAATAATAATTAGATTTTTTTTAAATCTTTTTTGATGGTTTTCTAAAACTATTGAGTAAAAAATACTATTAGACAAGAATAAACGGGACAAAATTTGGTTGGACTAACTTGCCTCTCGACCTGCTTATACCCTGACGTCTCTGAAAAACTACCAAGCCGTAAAATTGAAATTTTTTTCTTCGAACAACGTATCCTTACTCTATAAAATTTTGTTAAAAGATCACTCGAAATGGTGGACATTAATGATTTATACTAATCAGGAGTAAAAAAATTCATTTACGTATTAAATATTAAATTTGGTTTAAATATATCTGAAAATTTCCCTTATGCAGCTTTTCATAAACTTCATAAAAATTTTCGTAAACTTTCTTCTTTTTTTGTCAATTCTCTTTCCGTTATTCATTATTTTGTAATTTAGGATTTTCTTGTTAAAGCCTTTTTTAACAAACAACATGTTAAAAATGATGCTATAGTTAGATCGGAATCAGGCTGACATCACGTGTGATAATTTCGATTGATATAATCTATTTCTATGAAGAATGACAGATCTAGACCAATCTGTCGATAACAAATTTGTAATAAATTCTAGCTTATTTGAATTCATCATCTTTTCCCTTGCATCTTTTGAATATGTCATTTCCGCCCATTTTTATACAACTTTAACGTAATTTGCGAAGTAAATTATACATTTTATTATGTACACCCCTTGATAATCTAAAAAACAAAAATATATCGGTTCTTGTTTTGTCGTAAGATATTAATTTTACAGTTTTATTTGATTAAATTGTATTTCCACATCTCAAATAACAGTGCAATTTGATTTATAAATTACTATAAAGCACTTAATGGTTTATTATTATTATTATTATTATGCTCTCCATTTTTTATGTACAAATAGTCCTTTTTGGTTTTTGGCCAGTCTTAAATCCTAAAATCTTAAATTCACCAAAATATCCACATTTCTGTATTTCACTACGTTTGAAATTATTGGGATAAAAAATTTATAGTTTCTTCTTGAGCTTTTAAAGGCGGTTGAACGGTTTTCAGCTTTGGTTGTGGTTTGAAATTGAACCAGAAGCTAGGTTGGTCTGAAAATTTTCCGGATTTTTTTTCAGCCAAATAAAAGGAAACATTAACAAAAGAATACAGCACAAACACGTTTATAAAAACTTTATTTTAACGCCAAGAAAAAATTTCGTAAAAAATAATTAGTAATTCATAAACTCAATAAATAATTCGATAAATAAAAGCTTTCGCTCATATATAAATGATTTATTGATAGATATAAAATTTCATTATTCATGTCTTAACGGTTTTACGAAGATTTTGACCGAGATCAAAGAGGAAATATTTATTGTTAATAAAAAAATATATTTATCGTTAAATTTCACTTAATACTACAGATTTACAGATAATTGAATCAATAAAATTTTTATGTTAAAAATCAAATTGACATTATCCCTAATTTTTAATGTGAAATATTGATGGCTGATTTTAATTATATAGAGTGAATAAATTATTAATAAACTAAAATATTTATATGCACAATGTAAATTATTGGTATAATTAGACTAATTTATTTAATGTTTTACGAAGACCATAAAGGATTATTACGACTACTGTTTTTTTAATTGGTAGTTAAGAATTTTAAGACGTTTATTTTGCGTAAATTACGCTAGTTTTATACTGGCCGGAGTTTTTAAATGAAATGCCGTCCACAATTATGACAAAATATGGTAAAAATTATGATCAAATTGTTGTTTTTAGGCTTACCAGATTGCTAAATCCGATTAATTTGCTTGCAGTCTCGAGGGACAAGCCGCAACAGAGGTTGTTGACAAGCGGCATATTCCCGGTGTCACAGAAGAGAAAATTTTATAATAAAATTACAAACATGCAGAAGGAAAAAGTCCTTTGGCCCGAGTTGACAAGACTAGAAACTGAGAACGACTGATGTCCGATAATTAAATTGTTCTTGATAACATCCTCTTCCGATTAGAATTAATTCGTCGATCTCCCCGTTATCGGTCGTGAATGCGTCCCACGGAAATATCCCGAGTCCATTTTTATCCGACAAGTAAGTGCTGGCGAGTTAAACCGTGGTCACAATGAACTCAAATGAGCTATTTAGTGAAGACAGCTCCGGGGTCCCTCCACTTCCCCCCGCTTATATCCCTACCAGGGCCGCCTCTTCCAATAGGGGTTTTATAAAATGAATTATTAATCCTGGATTATTTTAAAACGATGAACAGAAAAAGACATTTCGTCTAATAGGAGGCTATTGAACACCTTCATCCACATTTTTAGAACATTTTCCGCGTTGATTTACACCTAAAGTTCACCGGTTAAACGCACGACGCTTAATTTCATCAATCAAACGTCTTTAATTCTGAAGAAACTCGATTAAACAAAAGACCTACGTTTACGACACAAACTTATCTGAAAATATAACTTCTAGTGGACTTTATTCCAACATAACAATATACGATAAAGTTTTTCTAATAACAATTTCAAATAAAAGTTCATCCCAACTTATGAAAATTACCTTAAGTCATGGCTATATCCATATTTCTGCCAGTATCAGTTTTAGTTTTTTCTTTTATTTATTAAATCTGTTCTAATATTTTGTGGTTCGATATTTTATGTGAGTGAGTGTATTTATTAGTGTGAATAGTGAGGGAGTGATCCTTGAGATATGGCATCACCATCTCCCCTCCAGCATTATGTGTGCTTAGGATCAATGGTGGAAGATTTATAAAAGTACTCCATCTACCCTAATCTAGATTAGTTTATTACTATTGTGTGTAGGCCAATAGATGTATATTGAGTACTCCACCGACCAACAAGAATGTGTACAATTGTAGTTTAGATTTTTAAAATAATTTGTTGGAGCTTAACCCCATTGGGTGGTAAGCGATGATCTCCTGGTCATATGGCTTAAGGGGACTAGTGGCCCAGCCACATAACAGGTACAACAAAGAAAAGATGAAAAGAGTAATTAATTGGAATAATTAATATGGTCACTTATGGCCACTGAAATATGAATTAGTTTTTATTATAATAATAACACCCAAATAAAATTTAATCCAAACCAGATGCAACTTGACTATTTGTTCATTTTTGAACTGGTTTTATCTCCATAATTCAATAAATATTTAATAATATTGGCCCACATGAGTTTTAATGGTGGCTGTCCTTCTGGCAATCATTTCAGTATTAGAAGTATCGACCACTTTTTCACTTACGAATACTCTGGATCAAGGTATGGTCTTGAAGAAGAAAGCAAATTTAGTTGCTACTGCCAAGCTTTCGACTTATTTTAAGGCCATCATCAGGGCAAAACTTTAACATTAGTTTTTACGGGCGATCTCAAATTTCCTTGAAGACCGACTCAGCCCAAACATTGCTGTGTGTTACAGTCACTGTTACAGTCCTTGGCAATGTTGGGACTGAGTTGGTCTTCAAGGAAATTTGAGATCGCCTGTAAAAACTTAAATATGTCAATCTGTAGATATATTTAAAGTTGTTTTGCCCTGATGATCATAAAATAGGTCGAAAGCTTGGCAGTAGCAACTAAATTTGCTTTTATCTTCAAGATCATACTTGATCCAGAGTGTTTGTAAGACAATATTATGAAAATGAGGCAATTGGTATAAAAAATGGTTTAATCCATATGCTTTGGAAAATAATTGCTTTTTTTAGTTTTCACAAGTTCTCAATGCATTACAACAGCTAGCAAAGCCATTTTGACTAAAAACAACTCATTCCAGTATACAAACGCGTCCAAACTCATGGGTTTAGATCAGTATCGGCTCAATCTATTTTTTTTAATTTTTTTTTAATAAAAATTTGATTTCCATTACTTTTTTCTACCTAAGAAATCAGAATATCATTTTGTTTTTATTGGAACTAGGTTAATGAAAATAAATGGGACTTGGACCAATATAGTAATTTCATCTTATTCCACGGAAATGATTGGTTAGCTACTCAGATTGCTTCAAAACCAGCTCAATCCAACATTTAAATTTAAATTTTTGGCAACCTGTGAATAATACAATATAGAAAAATATTCTTAATTGTTGCAAACTTTCCCTCTTCCCCATAAAAACTAATTTAAAAAATCTAAACCATAATGCATAGTTCTAAAACATTTTAGTGTCTCCAGTAAAAAGTTTGAAAAATGGATTGTCAGTTTTGAAATCAAATGATTTTCTCAGGTTTTAGTATTTTCATTTTTATCATTATTAGTTTATTGAAAATCTGAAATTTTTTATTTCTAATATTTTTTTTATACACACAAAAAAAACCACACTCATATTTTGATGTTTATTTGCAAACTAAATGTGTGCATTTTTATCATTATTTTAATTGCAAAATACTTATTTTAATGTAAACGAAATTAAACAATATCAGAAATTAGTGAGTTTAAAAAAATATTTAATTAATGATGGTTTGTAAGAAAATTCACCAAAATGATCAAATAAATTGTTAGTCAAAGTTTAATCTATCACTAAATGACATCCTTGAGCATATACACATACCTTATTAACATTATACAATAAAACAAAGTTTGTTAAATTTTTCATAATTAACTTCTCACAAATCACACATTATGACTCTTGATTTTTATTTATTTTATTGTATTTTTTTTAAACAAGGTTATATGAACTCTCAAAGCACTGGTATTTTTGAAACAAGAAAATTTGTGTGTCAGGTCGCTGGATTCGAAACCGGGATCTTTACCATACAGTGATGAATCGCCGTGACAATGCCTTAATCATTGCAGCCACCGATGACCCTAACCTTTTAAATATTTAGTTAGGTAATGCATTTAAATCTAATTAAATAATTTAACAATTAATGAACAAGAATTGTAACAGTTGTGACAATTATTGAATTACAATTTTTTTCAAATTATTTTTATTTGCTATTTGCTATTTGCAATTATAAAGATTGTATAAGTATATCTTTGAGTTTATTTGTTCAGCAATATGAAGGTAAATTCATTTTTAAGTATTGCTTATTTTTTATTACTTTTCTAATTGTTTGAAAATGTAAACTTTAAATTATTTTGTCTACTTTAGGCTACATTCTTCATTAATGGTTTTTGTTTTCTTCAATCATCATCAGCGTCTCTACATTGTCTAATTGTTTGTATAAACCCTTTATTACTAATGATTTTTTTTTTTTTTGATAAATTAGTGAAACCTGGGATAATTGAAATTTCACCACCAGGAACTGAACCACATCAACAAAAAAATGACATTTTAACAGTCTACAGCCAAAATTTTACACTAATAATTTGAATGACAATTTATTCCTAACTTTTGGAATTAAAATTTTTATTCATTTTAATCAGGCTATATCTCAAACAACGATTTGTCAAGCAAAGTTATAATCTGTGGCAAAATAATAATCTACAACAAAGTTTTTATATTAATAATTGATATGGAAATGTATCCTAGTAAGTGGAATTAAGATGGTTGATAAACTTTTACCTACGAAAGATGTGATTACTGCCCACAAAATGTTTTGTATTCATTTATTAAACATCTCCAAATAAAATTTAAACTAAACCAGCTCAAATATAAAGGTTGAAGGAATTTTAATGAACGATACTTTAAATTGTTTAAAGGAAGTGGGTTTTTTCACTATATATATTCTAGGCGTTTTGTCATTATGTGGTTTTGTTTAAATGCGTGTATTTATTAGTGTGAGTGGTGAGGGGTGATGGTGAAATAATGTCACCATCGACCCTCCAGCAGTGGTAGATTAGTACTCCATCGACCCTAATTTAGGTTAGATTATTAACCTAAGTGTGTAGGTGAATAGAGGAATATCCAGTATTCCACCGACTAATCAGAAGGAGTACAATGCATATGTATTTTTTATGCTACTGAAACATATAATTTAACTAGTATTAAGCTAGATTATAGTTTACGTGGGTTTGGGGCTGAAATTACCTAGCTGTCCATAGTCCCCATCAAAGTCTAACCTAGTTGGTAGGGAAGCGATGATCTCCTGTGCATCTGGTTTAAGGGGGATACTAGCGATCCACCTACATAACAGGGTGGGTGAACTCCCTGATAGTTTCAAAATACCACAATTGACACACAAATAACAATGTCAATTTTTCAAACAATATTATTTAAGGTGTTACATGTATCGATCACTTTTTAACTCATGGATGATCTGGACCATGGTTTGTTCTGGATAAAGAGGCAAATTCAACTGTTTATTACTCCTAGCTTTCAACCTATTTTAAGGTCATCATTAGGGCAAATAATAATTAAACATTATGAATATATATTATAATAGTACCTCAGCCATTTTTTATGGAACTACAATGAACAAAATTTATTTCTAGCCTATGAAAAAAAGATTGTTGGTAGATTTTTGTCTGACAAATTTCAAAATGTCTTTTTTATGTGATTATTTAACCTTTCCAATAATAACATAAATAATGAATGAATGAATAAAGGCTTTATTTACACAAAGTATTTACATTAACTTTATATTTCCAAGAAAGCTGACCTTAGCTGTCTGTCGAGTTTTATGAATTTTTGAATCTTGAATGAATCCCTGTTTTTGTATCTTTAGAATGACCTTTGATTTTAAAAATTGAAGTGGTCAACCAGGTATTTTCGGTATCGCAGGGCGTGAGTGAGGTACACCACAAGCTTCCTCCAGTTATCCCTTCCATTAAGGATTGCAATGACTTCTTCTACAACCAGCTTCAGTTTCCCAAAGTACCTTTAGCGGAACTCTCTCAGAACGGGGTACACTCCTATGAAGTGGAGAGTTTCCTCCGGGACGTTGAGGTTACATAAGGAGCAAATGATGGCGCGGTCCTGTCTCCACGGTTGGCAGTTCAGCTGAAGCAATTCACCCCTCGCCGTCAAGACCTCATAAGCTGTCATATTAGAGCACTCCATGTAGTTTCACCCTAAGTCAAAATCCAGTCTTGCTTACAAGTTGTGATGTAAAATGTTTCTCGCACGGGTTACCAAGTCTTTCCTTTTGCTCTCCTCCCATTTTTTTATCAGGTCCGTGGTATTAGAGGACTTCTGTTCTTCCCTACTTACTCCTACACCGTATAACATAAATAATAACCTAAACCAAATGTAGAAATATGCAAAAAATACAAATAGTAAGGAATGTAATAAAAGAACACTAGCAGTAACATGGGTTTGGATAATCTGAAAAGTTCTTGTGTATCAAGAGAGCAAGTAAACAATAGCCCTGTGAGAATCTGAAACAAAAGAAAGGGATCATGCTCACCCATTTGAGGATAGTCCAAACAATTGTTGCTTTTGGAACAAACACAGCGCGGGCGTTCTATTTAAAGATAAAGGTATCTCAGTCACTTGGTTGAGGAGTGCTAGACCCTATAAGGGAGTAAGTAGGCATAGCAGCCAATATAAAGGCAGCCTTTGGGCACAAGAGCGGGTTGTTGGGGCCCCTGTCCAAATTACTCTGCTAATATCTTAAAGCTTGGTGACTACCCAGTTTTATGAATATATTTTTTGTATGAATGGTTAAGTGTGCTTGAACATGGTGTTTGTGAAATACCGTGAGACCTTTCAAACCAATTAGGTTCACTTAGGATAGTGAATACATGATTTTAATGTGTGTGAATGTATTTTGTTATGAATGAAAGGTTGGTGACCAGGTGAAAATCACCTTGTTGGGCTCCCATAAACATAAAGTGGGGTCTCAGCAGTATGTCGAGAACTTTTGGGATCTGTCACATTTAGGTTAGTTTAGGTTAAATAATCTTTTAAATAGCATGAATGTGTAGTTTAATTGAGTTAGGGTATGTTAAGGTGTGGAAGTGTTACCCATCAAAGGCAATAAAACAAATGCTAGATAAACAAAATGTGAATGGCAATAGCCCTAGCCGCCGGCTAGCTGGAGCAAATTTGAACACATGGCTAAGAGTAAATTTTGATCTGGTTATGTTGGTAATAATATAAATATGTGTAATAAAGTGTAATAATAATAATTGGTTAAACAATAAGAAATAAAATAAACTAACATTTACAACAATATTTTTACAGTCATAATTTCGATGGAAATGAATTCTAAACTTACGCAAATAAAAAAGTAATTGAATAACTTTGACAATCATCGCACTATTTTTATTTATTGACATCTCCATGATGATTAATTTAAACATTTAACAGCTAATTAAAAAATTAATAAAAACTATTTAGTGTTGATATTGAACTGTTTTCTATTATTAATAACGCCTATAATTATAAATAATTAATATAAATTAAAATAAATAATGTATAAATGTAATATAATTACAATAATTACTACAAATATCAAATTATTTTTGAACCTTTAAATGGCATAAACTTTCCTCCGATTAATAGATTGAATTGTGGAAAGGTTGTTATTAACTGATTTGATAGTTAATGGGCAGAATTGTCTGCTTCTTTATCTAACTTTGTACAAGTGAACAAATGTTTTAAAAAGTAATTTAAAATTTATCAGTTTCCAGCAGTCCCATAGTTCACATTTTATTTCCGGTTTGATTCAGTTCAACAATACGAACAACTAGGGTGTGCCGATGGGGCCATTATCGTACCACAAATTGGCCATTGTTCAAAAAATAATTGTCTTTCTTGATTTCAAGGTGGGTGTTCAATTTTATTAAGTGATAGCAAATCTAGCAAGAAATAGGCTTACTTTTTATAATGCATAAACATACATGTAATCATTTTGAATGTAAATTCGTCCTTTTTTGTTTGCCCCTTTTTTTTCATTTTTGAGCCTTGGGTTTTGAGTTGGGTTTAATGTCCATATACACCTTTTTATCAGAAAAAGGCAAAAAATAAGAACAATTATCACAAAAAATTATAATTTTTATTTATAGCCAAAAATAATTCGTTGGCCTTCGTCACCCTGGCCATCCTTTTTATATGTTATTCACCATGGTCAAGAATTAATCAACCATAATAAAAATAATCCCTCATATTTATATTGATGAACTTACCAAATTATAATTTATTTACAGTTTAATAAAGGCTGAGTACATTAAATACATTTAAACATATAATTAACAGATAATAATCAAAACAAATCTATAACTGTGTAATATAATTTATACAATAACAAAATATAAATAGGCTTTAACATACAAAAATGGTTAACATCTTTTCATGACATACAGAATAATCATTCGCCCCTTTAGAAAAATTGCATCCCGTCTTCTTGATTTTTCGAGAGCTGTTGTATGTAGCTGTATATGACCATTGCACAGTACAACTCAAATCCTTAAAATAAAATTAAAAATTAATTTCTCGGCAATTACCGTTTTACATGAATTGAACAAATTACCTGAACTGGCGATTTCTTGAAATATGAAATACATCGCATGTGAAGGGTAGTGTTGAACAACGAAGACAAGATTGAGAATTATGATTATAGATGCGTGGAAAGAGAATGCAATTTGGCAGAGAACCCAAGAAAACATGTGTTCAGCACTCTTCTACAATTAAATTTTTAAAAAAAAAATTAAAAAAGAGTGATTGGACATTTGTAATAATTGTGATTGATGATGAAAACATACCTTCAAGACTCCATACACCAGATAACCGCAGAACACAAGTTGGATAAATGCAGTGTACTCTAAGAAGTATGTTGCCCTTATACCTAGCAAATTTTATAGAAAAGTGTATAATGTAGTATAACAGTTGATTTAAAATTTATATTTTTACGTTGAAACAAAATTTTAATATTTTTTTATTTAATATGTATGTTGCAGTTCTTTCTCTCTCTATCTATCTATCTATCTATCTATCTATCTTTCCATCTATCTCTCTACTAACCTCCCTCTCTCTTTCTCTCTCTCTCTCTCTCCCTCCCTCTCCCCTCCCTCCCTTTCACTCTCTCTCACTCACTCTCACTCACTCTCTCCCTCCCTCCCTTTCGCTCTCTCTCTCTCACTCTCACGTTCTCCCTCTCTCACTCTCACGTTCTCCCTCTCTCACTCTCACGTTCCCCCTCTCTCACTCTCACGTTCTCCCTCTCTCACTCTCTCTCTCTCTCTCTCTCTCACTCTATCTATCTATCACCCTAGACCTTCCTTCCAACAAATTTTAATTAAGGCATCTTTCCGCCAAGCTGAAGTTCAGTTTCCTACCCTTCCATTTCCTACCAGTTCTTCAACCTCCTACTCCTAAACCCACTCCCACTTCGCTGAAAGATGCCTTAGTTAAAATTTGTTGGAAGGAATGTCCGTCTGTTTGTGGGGTGCTAAGGGTCAATAATCTGAAGCGTCCAAAAAATTAAAACAACACCATGGTTTCTTGGATTTTTTAATATTCTTCATCTATTGTATATCTGTGTTTAATACAACTAAACTAAGTAAGGATAGGTAGACAAAAATTATTGGTAATGACCAAATTGCAGGTTTATCACTACTTTCACTAGGTTTTGAGGTCCGCTTGACCAAATAAATTCTTTTCAATCAATTAACCAAAATCTTAATTAATTGAAAAGGGTTTATCTCTACACTGTCCATACAGCAAAATCTCAGAAATTAAGAAATGTTATTTTTTACAAGTTGTATTGTGCATCTTTCAACTAATTTTAAAATTCTTTATTTTATACAGTTTATTGTCCAAAGGTTCAAATTGACATACAAAGGCAAAAAGCGGCCTCACTTTCTCGAAAAGTGCGTTAATCCTAACGATTCATTTGATGATATTTCAAGTGACAACAAATAACATTTCTTTAATCAACTCTTTTAAATTTTTGTAGAATGATTCAATATTCAAGAAATTACAATGGTTCAATGAAACTTTTCTCCTTTTAAATAATTTTTATGTATCCATTTACTCTGTAACATTACTATTTTTTACGACCTTTGCTTAACTTATATATAAATACTGAAATATCTTTCTGAATATAATTTGTTTAAGGAAATGGTTTCTCTGTTTAAGGCATATGTTTTCTTTTTTTATTTATGAGAATAACTACTAAGATCATGAATAACTAGTTTGTAATACTGAAATTTTTGATTGGTAGGTCCTTATAATTAATCTTGTTGAACATTAATTGAATTTTTTTTTAAAATGTGCCAATTGTGCCAAATTTCCAACATTTCAAACTACCATTTTGAAAATTTAATCTGAATGGGGGTTCCTCTACTCACTGTCTGGGTGTTTCAGCCAAGGGGCAGGACTCATCGCTAGCGATGTGGGGAAGTAGGAAGCGTAAAAATCTTGATACGTTATATGCTTATGTTTTTCTTCTTGTTCTCTTAATAGCAATTTGAAAACCTGAGGTACCTCCGAGAGGTTAGCAAGGAAGAAAACATGGGACAAAATATGAGAGTCAGTGACAAAGATATGTGGGAAAAAAATCATATAGAGGGTTAATGATGACCTCTTAAAGTAGCTCATAAATAATACATACATAAGCTGAATGAGTCAAAATTAGTGTACATATTTACATTTTTCAAAATTAAAATATTATAGCCAATTAATTGTTTCTACCTTTTAATTTCTACTCTGTACCTTTTAATCAATTTTTAAAAAATATAGATTTCTATATTAAAAATTGAATATAAATCAGTCTTTTCCAATTTCCATATTATTTTTAGAACATATTTTTAGCAATGTTATATCAGCCGTTGATTGGTATCAGTCTGAATTTACTTGAAACTTGCCAGATCCTGCTCATAGTTATCTTGCCAGCCTAAATAAACTAGATAAAGTGAATATATATATGTGGGCTTTATTTTCTTATAATGGTTTCTACTGAAAATCAAAAAATATCATAAAAAGCTTATAATTATCAATCCTTAAAAATTCCTATAAATTTTTTCATTCTTTTTAGACAAAATTTCAATTTAACTTTGTGTTTGGCTAAAGTCTAAAAATTCCTACCTGTTTAAAAAAATTGGCTATATGAAATCATTATTAATAATTATTATTATTATTATTTAATAACAACAGCATGCACAATTTGTTTATAATTTTTTGAATATTTTATAACATGAAATTTGAAAATACCTTCAATTTCAAGATGTGCTGGTCCATGAAATGTAATATTTTCTTCCTCACTGTAAAACGAATGATTACGTTTCTCCTCTTCTAATTCTCTTTCTTCTTCGTGGATTGTACTAGGCATCCATGCGTATAAGGCATATATCAAAAACAAAATTGAGTATGCAGTCTAAAAGAAAAGAAAAGATTAAAGGTTACTCTTAAGAAAGGAAAGGTAAAAGAAGAAAAAAAAATCATTACCAGATGAAAAAATGCTATGATCTTTGACCCGAACTCCAAAGAGCAGCCGCAGAAGGCATATTTCACCATTGGCGTTTTCATCACTCCGTTTGATACTAATTAAAACACATTGCAAACAAAAATGATGCCTGGCACAAACTCAGGGATGGTGGGAGTCGATAATTAAGGTCCAGAGGCTATCTAAAAGTTAGATAATAAACTGCTCAGCCTTGAATGTTGCTTTCTTTTTCCTATTACATTCCCAGAAATTATGAATATCTTTTCGTGGGGTAAAAGCAGAGGAAAAGAAATTTTTCTACTGAACTAAAAATAGGTTGTTATTGTGCTGCACTTTTTCTTTTTTAAGATTATTATTTTTTTTAACAGTCCGAATAAAATATTTACATTCATGATGTGTCAAGATTCCAGGAAGCAAATGTCTCTTAGACGAACTTGAATTTGAAATCGATAGATCTCATTTCAAAATCAAGTACAAAAGAGAATATTTTGTAATGTCCTCTAAATTTATTATTATGAATATTTCATGTTTGTAGTGGTTGCATATAATTATGGTTGATTTAAATATACTTATAGTTTTGTATCAATTTTTTTTATCATTGGTGTTAGAAAATATTTAATGTTCAATGCTTATTAACATTATTTTATAGAAAACGTTTGATTTATATTTAAGCATTTTATTAGATTAGAATTTTATTGCCTTTATCATAGAATTAATATTAAGACATTTGTAACAATTAATAGATGTAAATGGCATAAAAAGAAATAAATTTATTATGTTCTATCTTGCATTATTAAGAATGATAATGTAATAAAACAATTTAAAATTTTATCAATAATTTAACCGATTAAATAACCTTTTTATGAATATTTTATAGTTTTATTTGGAAGGTTTATTAACACTCATCATTCTATGAAAGTCTAAGTTTCAACACTTTTTCCATAATCAAAGTCATCTTTATTTTATTACACCTTATAATTAAAATTTTATTATATTAGAATTTTATTGCCTTTATCATAAAATTAATATTAAGACATTTGTAACAATTAATAGATGTAAATGATATAAAAAGAAATAAATTTATTATGTTCTATCTTGGATTATTAAGAATAATAATGTAATAAAACAATTTAAAATTTTTATTAAATAACCTTTTTATGAATATTTTATAGTTTTATTTGAAAGGTTTATTAACACTCATCAGCCTATGAAAGTCTAAGTTTCAACACTTTTTCCATAATCAAAGTCATTTTTATTTTATTACACCTTATAATTAAAATAATGGTAAATGGTTATATACGTTAAAAAATATGTAAAGCCAAAATTTATCCATAGAAACTGACCATAAATGGAAATCAGGAAGAAAAAAGGAAATAAAATAAAGCTAAATTAGAATTCAAACTTTTTTTTCCGATCTTCCATATTGCATGTTTTTACATTCTACAAATATATCCGAATGTCTTCATCTATTTACAGCAATTGTATTCTCAAGCATGAACTGGCTTAAATAGATGGCTGGGTAGCACAGAACGCATAATTTAAGCTAAAATATTAACATGTTTTTATTTCTGTTTGCAATAGATGTACAGGATATTCTCTTGATGCTTTCAGAAACCGACCTATACTTTTTCATCACAACCAAGGGAAATGTTAAAAGAAAGTTGTGTATAAAGCCATGGTATAGTAGCATCATCAGCATCATGCAAATCAAAATAATCTAGCAACGATGTTTCTTTTTTTACATAATGTTTAATGTTATTCTTTAAGAGATCCTTCTTTCGGAATTATCACAAATATTTTGTTCTACGAATTTTTTGTCAGTCACCATTAAACTGTAAATTAGGCTTTTTTATTTTACTGTCTTTTTAAGTACTTTTATATCTATAAAATATTTATATTATCTATAGAGATTAATGCAACATCAAACTTGTTAAAGAATTTACATTAATAATTAATTTTTATAACCATTATTGTAGACCAAAAATGAGTGTCAGGGAGGAAGCCAGCACAGAAAAACTAAACAATTTTAGCCAATTTAATGCCTTCCTCAGTACTACAATCTATAACTTAAAGTTACAATTTTTGGGTTTTTCTTGTTGGCTTCCTCCCCGATACTTGTACAACGTATGTGATATCAGAAGCCCAATAAAATAACACATCAAAAAAAGTCAATCAAAAGCCTAACAAAAATAATTATTATTTAAATTACAAAACAACTAGTTATATAACTAAAATACTTACGATCAGAATATTCTTTTCTAGGTAATATGCAAATATCAATATATAGACTCCATTAATATGTAAATAACAGGCATAACAACTTTTTAAATATTTGTCAGAGGCATGATACATTTAAAAAACAAAATTATCACTGAATAATACATTTACAAAATATTACAAGTTTTTAGTCAAAGCCTAGGGAAAACATGGTTTCTTTAAAATGAGGCCGAGATCATGGCTAAAATATTATTAAAGTATATAAAGTAAGTCCTGTTACCAAAGGGCTTAATGGCCAACTGCCCATTGTGTGTCATGAAAAAATTATGCCTAAAATATCATGACGATAATTTAATTAATTATAAATCTTAAAGTATTGAAATAAAATATATTGTATTACTAAATTTTGTATTGTATTATTATTTTTTATAAATTTGTCTGACCATTTATTTATACAATCACAGTACATAAAATGTAAACTTATTTACATCAGAAAATTCATTGTTCGATTAAATAAAAAGTGAATCAATGTAAAGTAAAATTTGGATTTTCAACTTCATGAAAATCATTGGTGGATGCCACATTTGGCAATCTCTCAGCAGGTTTGTTCACCCTGACAAACTGATTGTAGTAGTTGAAGACAATGATGAAAAAAAATGTTTCAATAACTAAAAAAACAAAATTATAACAAATTTATAAAGGAAATCTGTTGTTAGTGTATTTGTTGTAATTATACCTGTATATATTGACAAATCCAATAAAAATACGAACCCTACATACTTGTATCCAACTGCCCATTTAATTAAGATAACTAGTATGCTAAAGACATCCATAAATAGAGAAAGCGATACGAGAGGTATCCCATAAAATATAAATGTTTTGTTTTGCTAAAAGTTTTTTGAAAATAAAAATTAATTTCAAAGATTTTTACTAAGGTATAGTTCTGAGCTCACCTTGAATAAGCCATATATATAGAACATAGAAAATAAGGCAGAAATGGTCGGGTTTAGATCATAAGCAAAAATGACAGCTAGTACAAAATAAATATTATAAATTTATTTTTCAAGACACATCAGCACAACATTTATTACCAAGACTTTGTTCGTTTAAGGAACGTGAAAACCTAAAAACTGCAAACGTGAGTTCTGCGAGAAAGAACAAGAGGCTCACAAGCTTGAATAAAGCACATGATTATTTAAAATAACAAAAAGAAAAGTAATTTATCAATCATACCAAATAAACTGTCGCAATCATGTAACATCCTGTGCGCAATGACAAACAGAAACAACACGATTTTGGTTTTAATAGTATATCGATGTTCATTGTAGTAATGTCCCTGAGGATACTGGTTTGAGGAGAAGAGAGGAGATGGAAAAAAACACATTACATAAATTCAATTGATAGGCCATATCAGTATCAACTCCCCAGATTGGGCTGGATATATTTTGGTAATTCATTTTTCAGCATGTGATTCTTTGATTTTCTTTCCTGTTTTTTTATTCTTAAAAAATTCTTAAACTAAAATTTAAAGAATTGACAATTTAAAAAAATTGAACATGGTTGCACATAGCATAGGTTAGTAATGAAATTTTTTATCATGATTTTATTGAAAAAAAAACAAATTTATTAAGTATAAATGTTCAGAAAACTAAATTATACATTTTTGTATCACCCATCATAATTAAAAAAATCATTTTGATAACATACTTATTTATTGCTCTGTATTATTTCTAGCTGTCATTAAAATGTAGTTAAAAATTTCTAAAGCAATAAAATAAAATAGTGTTTATGTGCACCTTTTGATCTTAAGTATCAGAATTTATTTATTTTTTTTTAAATTTTTTTTTTTTGTTTTGTTAGGGGGGTTTGCAACAGCAGAGGTCATATCAACCCTCGAGTGCCAGTCACCGACACACCAATGCAATGCTTCTATACTATTTAAGAATTATCAGTTAATTTTTTTTTTTTTTTTTTTTCTGGGGCTTCCGACATCTAGGTCATTTCAGCCCCCAACTAAGTCTATATTCTATTTACACTTTCAAACACTACATTCATACAAATAAATACATTCATACACATAAATACATCCATACAGTACACTCATTTCGTTTGGTCGGTGGAGTATGTGATATTCCTCCGCCGAACTATACTCAAACAAATCTAGATTGGAGTCGACGGAGTACTTTTATAAATATTCCACCATCAACCCCGAACATGGTTTGGAACAACACACTCAACGTTTGAGGGGCAATGATGACATTATATTTCACCCTCACCCCTCGCCATTCACGCTAATAAATACATGCACTCAGACAAAACATATAGACACACAACACATAAGGCATATTATATACAATAAAAAACCCCAATTTCTCCTAAAAAGCAGAACAGGGGACTCTGAAACTCGCTGCAGTGCTCGAGTACCATCTTCAGATTGGATGGCATGCCTACACGCTCCCTGTATGGAGCCAATGCATGACATGTTTCCAGTATGTGGGACACATTGAGCAACCTTTCTCTGCATAAGGGGCACCTGCGCGGGCTTTGTTTATTGAATTATTGTAATTGTAAGAACAAATTTGTTACATTAATGTCAAAATTAAGTGTTATAAATAATAGGAAAATTAAGTCATCGGTAAAAGTGTGGTCAGTAGACCAGTAAGTATTGTCTAGTAATTAAATTTGGAGATTAAATTTGCCAAAAGAGTCTATAATTATTACATTACATGCTCATAAGCATATATTATTATATTAAAAATCAATAAGAAGAAAAGAAATGGCCTTTCAAAATTGGAACTTCAAGGAATGCAACAAATATTGTCTAGCTTTTGTCATAAAAATATAAATTTCATTTAAAAAACAAACCATAAAGATATAAATTTTGAAGTTGTACAAATTCTTTTAAATCCACATTTCCTCAAAATTGTTTATTTTAACATTTAAAATTTAAAGAATTGTAGAAAACATTGAGTAAATCTTTAATAATGGGAAGCCATATGCCTTTATAAAAATATTTGTCTTATAGGCAAAACTTCATTCATTGCATAAACCATCTTCATTTTAAACAAAAATCACTGTAACATATTTTACCTCAAATGAAGCAGGCCTTGGTCTGTTTGTTCAGAGATGTTAAAACGGTGTGGTCAAGTGTTGAGAGCAGATGGCTCTCTAATGAGTTAATGAGAGGGAATCTTTTGATTATGGAAACCATCTCAATTTCCCTTAGGCAAATTAGCAAACCACTGAGAAAGATGGTATGAGAAAAATTTAACATGTCAGTTTTTATTTCCAGTAAGACAATAACATTATTTTAAGGCATACGGAATTTATCTTAAATAAATTTCAAAGTCGTAGAAAATGTTCATGTTTTATTTTACATATACTGTATAAAATAAATCTAATCATTCAATCAAAGCATGTAAAAGGGAAAAAAATTATTTACCAATTTTCTGATTAAAACGACATTAATTAATAAAAACATGTGGGTTTTCAACCTCGTGAAAATCACTGCTGGTCACAATAGTTGGTGAAATCTCAGCAGGCCTGTTTTCCTTGGCAACCTGATTGTAGTAGCTGTATATAATGATGAAAAAAAAAATTTCAATAGCTAAAATGAAAAAATTGATTGTCAAGCTATTAGTTTGAAACTTGTCCCCCCCCCCTTTTGTAATACCTGTATATATCAATGGATCGAATACATAAGTGAACATAACATAATTTAGTTCAAGCATCCAAAATATTAAAACAACTGCTGTTCTAAAGACATTGTTCGCTAAAGAAAGTGACACACATGCTATCCCGCAAAATATAAGTGTTTTGTTTTGCTGAAATAATTTGTAAATTAGAGTTAAAATTGGCATGAGAATAATAGATTTCTAATGTCCTCACCTTGCGTAAACCATGAATATAGCATAAAGTAAAGATAAATGTAACGGTTGGGTTTAGATCATAAGAAAAAACCACACCTACCAACAAAAATCAGTAATACAATACAATTTATACTGAATTGTTAATGTAACAAAAACATTACCAATTTTTTGACTTTCTAGATGATGTGTAAACATAGCAACTGCAGATATAAGTTCTACAGCGAAGTTCAAAAGGCTTGCGAGCTTGAATCATTCACATAATTGTTGTTTTATAAAAACAAGAGAAAAACAAAAAACATCAATCATACCAAATAAACTGTCGCGATCATGTAACATCCTGTACGCAGTGATAAACAGAAACAGCATGATTTCGGTTTTAATATTACATCGATGTTCATTGTGTAGTCGTGTCCCTGAGAAGACTGGTTTTAGGATAAGTGAGATGTGGAATTAAAAACAGGCCATTACATAAATTTGATTGATATGCCATATCTCCATTTATTAAATCAAACAGATGAACTGAATATTTTACCATTAATTATCACAAATATTTTACTCATTATTTGTATTTCTATTGTGACTTGATTTGGTTTTGGTTTTCTTTCAGCTTTAATTGTTGTGCTTGTTTTTTAATTCTAAGAATATCGATTAAGGATTAAGAAAAATAACCTTGATATCATGTGCTATATCTTGTAATTAATTAAAATTAAAAAAATGTTTTTATCTTACTAGATAACAGAATTTTAGTATTATACATTCTATTAGTTTGTAATAAGTATAGAAGGTTTCTTGTTCATGCAACTTTTTACAATTCTCATGAAAAAATGCTAATATATTTAAAAAACAGTGAAATGACTTAAATGGTACACATGGTTATAATCATACAGAAAGAAAGCATTCTACATGTAACCCAATCCATTAAACATAAAATAGAAATCAGTACTCATTTTAATCAACACTGCCAAGCAAATGGTGAATAGGTAAAAATATAGATAAGTAAATGTATAGCAGATAGCTTTATATAATTTTACTGTTTTTTTAATGAGCTTATCTTGTACAAATATAGCATACTAAACAAATAAACATGAGACAGAAAGAACAGTAATGAAATGACAAAGAAAAAACGAAACAAAAACAATGTTTAAGATAGATAATAAATCATAGCAAGTAACTTTTATATCAGTCTGGTCTACAGATGGCTCCAAAACCAAGTATGGGTTAGGACTGGTATTTATGGGAATAAACCAAGGGCTAGAATCCTTGGAAAATATGCCACAGGGGATGTGAATGGATACTTTGCATCTCTAATAACATTAAATTTTCAAGTCCAACTTTGCAGCCCTAATTTATGGTGTTATGCAGCCTGTACTGAAGAATGGATGATAGAAGTATACCAGTAACAGAGCCTTAACGGTAGCCCACTTGAGTAATCAACCTTACACCAAAGGGAGGGCTTCTCCGGTGCAGATCTTTAGATCCCTCATATTTGTGGAATCACATGGATTAATAAAAAAATATATAAAAACACACTGGGGGAACCTGCAAAGGAAGATGCCAAAAACCAACTTATGGAAATTGAATAGGGCTCCGAATCTCTACAGCTCCCATAAACCTAGAGCACAATAGATCTATTCAGGTCAAGGTGCAATATGTATGGCCACCTCTTTTATCCCTATCCCTATCCCATAAACCAAGAATTGGAGGACAATCTCCTCACATCACCTTCTGTAGATGTGTTGGGTCTTCAGGAAAAAACCAAACCAAAAGATGAGGACCAAGACCAAATGGAGGAGATGGAGAAGACTTAAAAACTATATCTTAGTCCAAAGAAAAATCTCATGGGGCTCAGGGTAAAATGGTAATCAATCAAGCCAAACAAAAGGAGGAGCCAATCCTGAAAAGAATCAGGCAAGAAAACCCCAAAAAAACACCAGAGCCAATGCCAACCAAAAGTGGTAAAATGACAGGTTACTAGGTAGCACCTCATCATCAAGTGAAAGTGCTCCTAGGAATGTTCCTACAAAAGTGAAATTGAGGGAAGCAATATGGAACAAACCATCCCCTCAAAATAGTTGTGAGAAGGGCAATGAACATATCATCCCTCAATAATTAATACATTAAAATACGTACATATACATTAGAAACATTAATACAATTGAGACAATTGAAGGTGTAAATAAAATTAATTTTCCAATGGCCTATAATCAATTTTTTTTCTTTTTGTAATGAGGGTATTTCAACTACAAAGTTGAACCATCAAGGTACTAATGTTTTGGAAAAAAGCCCATTTGTATGTTGGGTTTGAATGCAGGGTCGCTGGATTCAAACTCGGGACCTTTACCTTACAGTGATGAGCGCTGTGTCGACGCCTAAACCATTGCAGCCACTGTCACCTCCCATTTTATGTTTAAGTATCTTACCAAATAATAATTATTATTATATTCAGACTCAACATGTATTATTAATTACAGAGTTTGGGACTGCAGTAGCAGAGTGGTTAACAAGAAAAGACTCTCAACTCGTAAACCAGCCATCGTGGGTTCAATTCCCACCATCGCCCCCATCTCTTTTTCACTCACCCTTCCCCCCAAAAGTATAAATCAAGCATAATTTCTTTGGCTAATATGAAAAAATAAATTAATTTAAAAAATATAGTAACTCTGGTAAATCTAAAAGTATTGTTGGAATGGTGTATTTTTGCCTTTTTTTTTTAATTTGTGCTTAATATATTAATTAGTCATATAAGAAATTTAATTATAGTATAAAGTAAGAACATTTTTAACATTTTATGCTCATATGTTTATATTTTTTGTTGTAAGACTGGATAAAGTTTGGTAATTTTTCTAAATAAACGAGAAATAATGAATATAGCAACTACTACTTCACTCAACTAAACCATGATCTCTTTTCATGTTGGTATTTTAACAGTTGTTATAACTTCCATAAACTGGGTTTGAACACAAAACACTGTTGGCAAACTCATCAATGGTCATTTTGTGTCCTTGGAAAGACTGGTTTGACAAATGAGTTGTGAAAGTCAGACACAAGCAAAAGTGAGCTATACTAATTTAGATCAAAGATATGCCCAATCTTGTTTTAACACTTTAAATTAAAACAAGAATTGAGTTTTTGTGAATATTAATTATAATGAAAATTAATATATTTAGAAGTTTTTATTAGAAACAGGTTTTAATTTCTTTTGATATTAGTTCAAACTTTTAATAAATTAGATTTTTAAGTTTAGGCATTTCAACTTGTGTGTCGTAGCATCTACTTTTATTATTAATGTTTATTTCTCGGATTGTTAGTCCGGTCGTATTGTGTTTCGAGCCAATTTTTGGGTAGAATAACACATATTTTAACTGGCCAAACAAGATAATAGCTTAGCGTCGCCTTTCTTAGCCCATTTAATTTCTCCTACTACGCCTGGATCAGTTACAATTACGAGAGTGAACGCAAATCCAAAGATTGACTGCCAACAACATGAATTTTCCTCTTTTTCACCTCAAGTCATGCTGCTATTGTGTTAGTTTAAAAATCGGGTGTTATACGATCTGTTCATTATACCTGGTAAGTGAGAAAGTATTACAATTCCATATTATGATTTTCTTGTTTGTCTTTTTATAGCTTTTAAGCTTGATGGTTTTTATAACCGAACTTCAATCCGCTGAGTATTTTTTCTCGCACAATTTGAGAACTAAACATCTCGGTGTGAGTATAAATGCATTATATTTGATCTTTGGGTTTTAACTATTGCTTCTTTTCATAGCTGTACTGTTTGTATATGATACAAAACCTCCTATCGTATTTGTATTTTCTATATTTTTCATCTATGGTCTATACAAGGTAATTATAAAATCCCTAGTAATTTTATAAAATCCTGGTTTTTGAAATCACATTGTTTAAAATTTTGTTTGTTCCAGGAAAACAAATTATTCGCACATAGTGGGATTGCTCTTATATACCTATTTGTGATGTCACGCCTTATGTCTTTTCTACAAACTCTGATCAGACATAATTTTCAATCAAGAATCCTAATAACATTCTTAATTGCTGAAGGTTTGTAATTAAAAAAAAAAACACCTTACAATTACTTTCTGTAAAATTAACTTTTTTTATATTCTTACAGCTTTTCACATGTTGTGCCTTATGCTAGTTAAGAGTTATCACAATGAGCTTTCTTTAAAAATACACAAGCCTGATGTTATATTAGAAGACACTACAAATTCGATAGAGTCTGAAAACCCAGAACCGTCCAGTTAAATATTGTCCTTTCTTAAGAATTGAGTTCCTCTTAATGATATTGTTTTTCATATTCTCCTGCAATTATATATTTTAGTATTTTGTATATTATTTTGTACTCAATAAAAGTTCTTAGTTGACATTCAACAAGGAATTAATTGTTTATTTCATGAACAAAAATAAGTACTTATTAATTTATAATACAAACTATGTAAAAATGAATAATATTTAATTTTTAAAAAGTTTAGACATGTTGGACATATTTATTTCACTTTCTTAAAATATTGGTGGCCACAACGGTTAAGGCACAATGACTTGTCACTGCAAGGGTTGCAAGTTTGAATCCCAGGATTACTGAGTTTAAGCATATTATGCCAAAAAAATTTATAATTGTTCAAAATTATAGTTTAATTTATTATTTATTACGCTTTTCATATAGGAGATCCTTGAAATATTTTATCACCCGTTCCAATAATCCTTGAGAAAAATCAACCTTGAAAATTAATGTTTTGCTCATTTTACTGTAAATAGTCTCAGCTGATGTTCTTCAGTATCATGGAATTTCTCAGGAAGCCGAAAACGTTTTGCTGCTGTATGAGTTTACACACTGGCTGCTATGTCGGCGCAGCGTTATACCTTGTAATTGACTATTTTATAATCTAATAATCATTTTTTTTATGTTGGTGAGGTGATAAATATGAAATGAGTCCCTTTTTGATCACCATATCCAAATTTTAATCGTCTTTTGCTGACTTCAGATTTCAGGAATTCTTATGTCTGTAGGGGAAATTATCAGTGGGTCGCCCATTCTCAAGAATAGTCATCATAAATATATAATAAGTATGGATTAATTTTATGAAATAAATATAATTTTGATTATTTGACATTCGATTTGGCAGAAGAGGCTTTCACTTATGATTTATGTCCATCCCTTGGCATTGTCTTCCCAAGTTGTCTAATAGCTGGGTTGGTTAAGGTAAGTTAAACCAGGAATTAAGCCATTTTAAATTGTTTACAAAAAAATTTAATGTCATGTATGTTCAATGAGGAATAATATGTTACAGAATAATTCACTATTAGTTTATAGCAACGCATGCATGATGGGCGCTATGCTGGCCAATAACTGTTTCATGATACTTTTGAATGTATTGCAGCTTGGACATTTCTCTATTAACTACAGCATATTCATAGATAATATTATTTTTTCAGGTTTGCTTTTTGATCGGTTGATGCATAAAAATAGCAGTCTTAACTAAATTTCATTTCAGCCATTCATGCATACTTCATGATCATCATCGTTGCTGAGAGTGAAGAAATTGTTCTAAAGAACAAACAAAACGTTGCCATCCTTAACGAAGAAATAAACCCATGTAACAATGAAGGATAAAAAATATTTTGAACAGAGATTTGTGATCATAATTATGCATCTAATGTTTGTTTGATTGTTTCTGTGTTAGGATAGAATTATAATGAAATAAACATAGTAATGTTAAGTCAAATATCTGTAATATTATCATTGTAAATATTATTTGAAAAATATTAATGTATAATAATAATTATAGGTGTCAAAATAAAATCTTACAATTAGAATTTTTTTGAACCGTAGACCAAAACTTGCATATGTGTTCAGCATTTAGAGAAAGGTTGCTAGAATTATCCCTCTGAAGGGAGCAATTACTTGGCTCTATATAGAGAGCGTGTAGGTATGCCACCCAACATGAAAATTGTGTTTGAGCAGGGCAGAGAGTATTTGGGTCCCTTGTTTGATTTTTCAGAGAAAACGGCGTTGTTTGATTACATATAATACTGACGGTTATATGTTTTGTAACTTTCTGCGGTTCCAATCTTCATGATCAGTGCTGTACGATCTGGTTTACATTAAAATTTAAACATAGACCTAATAAAAACACAGATATGTTTGTATGATTTGGAAAATACAGTGTTCTTAAAATCTAAATGTCACAGTTGACATAACAAAGTTTTGCATATGTAAATTTAAAAAATTATAACAATATTTTCAAAAATGAGAAGCTTATCTCAAAGGATAAGCTAATCCCCAACCGCAGACTCGGGCAGTGCGAGCTGAGCCACCAAAGGATGAGGAAGGACTCTCTCAATTTGTTTGAAGACACCTGCTCTTTTTATGTAAATGGCAAGGAGTTAGTTGCGTATGTCATAGATCACATTATTATTATTATTATTTTATGCAAATCTGAATACATTTATTTATTTTTATTTTATTTTATTTTTTTTAAGGTTTTGTTATAATTTATTTGGATCAGGTCCCGATTTTTGTATTTTCCGATTAATTTGTTTGAGTTTATGGCACAAATATTTATTTTCATTTTTATTTTACACTCAAAAGGAAACGAGTTTGTTCGTGAGAAGGGGATTCACGCAAAGATCGTAATAAAATGTAGAAATAAATTGTATTAAAAACATAAAAATAATATGCTGTGTTAGTAAAAATAATAATATTGAGCTGTGAAAAGTAACAATTTGATACTGGAAAACTGTATTTTTGTATTTCAATAATAGATTTTATTTTTTCAGTTTTGTTTTCAAGATTCACCTTATTCCCTAATAATTGTAAATATATTTATTGGTGTATTTACTCTTTCAAAATGATCACAACATTCAAAATGAAATATAAAAGGTGAAATTCAAAACCGAATGAAACACAAATGTCAATCAAATTCTTGATTTGTAAGTTGATAAATCTATAATTGATTGCATCTGTTCATCCTGATCTGTGTTTTTTTGCTTTTTGGTCTATCAGATGTATTGAAAGCTTTAATTGTGAAAACTAATTTTAGTTTTGTCGAACTATACCAGAATTATCAGAAAAGCACACAAAATTATTTTTATTAGCCAAAAAATACGATTTTAAATTAATGTAAAAGCAATCTTAGATCTTAGATTGATAGATTTTAACTTAATTTTAACAATTTTTGTTTTTTTATTTGGGATTGTGGAAATCTTTGGAAAAGTCTAAATATTTTTATTTTTTTCTCTCGCCAATTCGAATTTAGTTGGTATTTTTTTATTTGTCAAAAGTTCAATCTATGTAATTTCTATATTAAAAAAAAAAAAAACTATAAATTGTGAATCTATCAAGCATACTAGGTGAAAAATAACAACCTGCCAAATTTCTAGTTTAATTTTAAGTCATAATCAAAACTTAAAACCATTTAAAAACCTGATAAACCATAATGCATTCAATATTAACTAATTATTATTACCAATCATGCTAAAGTTAAGTTCTATTTAAAGAAGGGTTAATTAGTGAAAATAAAATATTCAATTTTACTCCAAAGTGACAACTATTAAAGGATAAAATCTCAATTAAAAACACCCATAATGATGCTGCCTGACAACCTTTTGCAAAATATATGTTTTTTGAAGTCTTGAATATTTCATATTTTAGGACAATATCTCTAGATAATCTAAAGTGTATAATTTATACATCAATACAGTAAAAATATATTCGAGAAAGGCTCAAAATCCCAGATGATATTTTATCTAATCTTCTCCGCCTGGATCTGTTATAATTATCATTCTTAAAAAAAAAGGGACCGGCGCTGAAATGGATTGTTCACTTTTTCTACAGAAGTCATATCGCTACTTGCATTTAAAAACATGCTGCTATTTTATTGCTTTTTTATATCTGGTAAGTTTAGATGGTTATCTGTTCTCACTATGGTTGATGATTTTTGTTGGCTTTTAAGTCTTTAGGAGTTCTTCTTTTTTGCGAAGAGCTTTATTTGTCTGAGCGACATTTCTCAAACAGCTTGGCCAACAAGGAACTTGGTAAGTTAAAAAAAAAAACTTTAATTCTTTTGAATTTACTGTAATAATTCTTCTGTCTTTTCATAGCTGTACTGTTTGCATATGACGTTAAACCTACTATTACAATTGTATTTTCTATATTGTTCATTCAGGGTATTTACAAGGTAAGTACTATTTTTAACTCATTAAAATGCATCCAATGTAGTTCACATTTAAAGTTTTTAAAAATTCCAATATTTAGTTTGGTTTTTTCACCTCACCTGGAAAACATTCATTCTAGAGTCATTTGTAATTATAGAGTCTATAGTCGCTCTTTCTTCCAATTTGACCTAAAAAAATATATGTGGAATTGACCTTTCTTTATTTCTTTGCACAACTTTAAGGTAGATGAGCACTTCTGGATTCGTTTTTGCTAAGTTCCTAAGAAGTTAGTGTTGCCTTTCCAAAGTAGCTGTACTGTTTCTGGCCTAATGCTCTGCAGTCAAATAGGACATGTTCCAAAGTCTCTATTATTTTTTGGCAGAGTTGGCAAGTTTCTGTCTCAGTTTCTACCATTGTTTTTAAGTTGGTATTAAATGGTTGTTATAAAGGCCTATTATTTTCCTTAATTCTTGCCTACTGAGAGATGGGTAGATTTTTTGTTTTCCTAGTTGAGAAATTGAGGAACTTCTTTGATTGTTTTGCAATTGGTGAATTCAGTCAGTGTATAGTCATTCCTTTCACTGTCCATTAGTTCCACTTTTAGCATTCATTGGGATATGCCAATTTGCGGTCATATTCCCCTCAATTTCCTCATATCCTTGCACTCACATCAGATTTACCTAATTATGTTTTGCCAGGAGTTGGAGATATGTTAGGCATTCCCAGACAAGCTGTGCACAGAGTTCTATTGCATGTATCTCAGCTTGGAAAATTAATGGAGTAAGGACACATTAGATCAAAATTTTGGCATTTGAGAGCAGATTTTTATCACAATTGATAATCAACATCACTTCACATTAATGTATTATTTATATCCACATTATTATATTAATCAGAACCAAATTTTTATATCTTTTGTTGTAATTATTCATTTTAAAAAATAATACTCTAGGGTAGTTTGAATGAAGTTTCTGTTTAAATGTTGTATTGATCTCTATTTTACTCAAAATATTCAATTGTTTTCTCCCAAGCTTTCTACCTATTTTAAGGTCATCATCAGAGCAAAATTATCTTAAAGATGTCTACAAATTGACAAAGTCCTTGGCAATGTCGTGATTATGGTTATCTTCAAAGAAATTTGAAAATTATTAAAAACTTAATTATGTCAATTTGTAGACTTCGTTAAGATCATTTTGCTCTGGTGATGACCCTAAAATAGATCAAAATGGGGGATAGCAATTGAATTTGCTTTCCATCCCAACCATAACAAGATCCAGAGTATCCGTGAGCTGGAAGTCAGGTGAATATAATTTATTAGTGCGAAATTCAATTAGCCAATTATCCCAAGGAATATCAAGTCCTCTGGATTAGTATGAATGCTAACCAGATTATCATGTTTTATCTAGTTTCATTTTTTATGTGTATGTGTGTTTATTATTTGTGTTTTTTGATCTCCTTTTCTGAGGACCCAAGGTACATAGGGTTTAGTAATAGGATTAAAAAATGATAATCCGTTACTGTTCTAATTGGTCTGATCATAATTTGGCTAAAGAAACACGAAAAAATTTACAGGAATAAAGACAGAAGAAATGCAAGAAAAAAAGGGCTGACGATGACCAATGTAGTTTACCACCCCTAAAATTAACAAAAATTAATCAATAATATAATTATTTAAATTTGCACATCTTTTTCAATAAAAAATGAATTAATTAATCAGAACTAATAAATAGTGCAAATTTTCTGTATATTAAATGACTTCTTGGTTTAGTAACATGTAATTGGCAAATGCAATTTATAGTAATTACTGTGAATATTTAATTCTTGCTTGAGGAATCTATTTTGACATGTTATAATTATGTTTGTATTTTTAAGATAAAACACATTTTGTAGAATATTTAGTAAATTTATTATTTTGATTTGCACAACCTTTCGAGTGAAAGCTTGAATATGCTATTAATTCAATTTTTGTCGTTTTTTTTTTCTAAGAATGGATTTTTCATATTGCTGCATAAAACAATATTTTTATTAAATAATAGAGTCTTGTGGATTAGGGTTGTGGCAAAAAACAAATAATGCTTTTGTACCAACGCCGAGCTTTTGACCACAACACTAACCGGTCAATCGTATAGAAGATAATATTTTTCTTATTACGTGGTCGCTTTTTTTAAATTAAATCTTAAATTTTTATATAACTGGCAACAGTTTAAAAATTTTCTAAAAGTCTTGGTCCAAGTCAACTAATTGATATTACTCATTACACTATTTTGAAAGAGAACTAGTATTTATAGTTTTGTTTGTATGCATATTTAGGAAGAAAAAATGTTATCATAGAACAATTAGTGTAGAAATCAAAGGGTGTAATTTTAAAAACATGATTTCAAAATTTTATAACAGTTCCATATTTTTTTTTTAATCTTGTTTTTAGGAAAATATACTTTTTGTATTTAACATGGCAGTCCTTACATTTGTAATTTTGGCTACTCGCCTCACAATTATACTGAACTCACTGATGAGAACGCCTGATATTTTTCACCTCGGATACACGACAATGTTAACATCTGCAGGTTTGCTAATAAAAAAAATTCCTTATGTTATTTATTTATTGCATCTATAAAATGAAATTTGACTCTTTTTTAATTCTTTCAGTCATGCATACACTTTGCTTCATTGGAGTTAGAGGTCATTACAATGAATTGATTTTGAAAATGAATAAACCCAGTGATACTTTGCTGGACAATGAAGCAGCAAATTGAAAAACAATCTTCAAAGATAAAAAAAACATCAACTGTTAACAACTTACTACCTCTTAATAAGACGAAAACTGGTATAGCTTGGTAAAGGTATGTCAGAGTAGGCAACTTGGCTAACACAAGGAAATTGTCCTGGACGTGTACAGTCGGAAGTTCCCAAGGTGGAGTCAGCTTGTTGCTCAGCTCAAGTACCGTTCCTAGTTCGCAGTGTTATTCTTACCAAAAATATATTTATAGACCTGTATGAACTATTATTAGCACACAAAAAAAAAAAAAATATTATATAAAATAAAACGGTAACAAAGATATTGTACAAGCAAATATTATAATACACAAATAATTCCATTTAAATTATTTTCAATAAAACACATATTATTATTTATTTTTGGAATGATAGCAAGTATAAAGATAAATCTCAGATAAGTTTGTTCTTTGTTTTATTACCTTCAAACCAAAACCAGTTTACTCAAGGCTGCACAAACAGGATCAAAACTTTCATATTTACTACTCATTTCATAAACAAGATACACTATTGCAATTTTTTTCTTCGTATGAGTACTGATTTATTAATTTGTTATATTTTTTTTATCCTTCATACATTACTTGTGACTTTCCCTCTATGCAGAAGGAATGAAAATGAAAATTATATAAATGATGGTAGTTTTTAAAGATAATTATCATCCTTAAATAATTTTATTATGCGATTATTTGGATGAAAAAAAAGAATTTGTTCTCGCCGGGTAGGAGATTCACACCGTGTATAAAAGTGCGGGAGCTCGACATAAGATATGTTCTTTCTTTTCACAGTATATTATATTACACAGGGCGGGCGACCAGGACCCGAGGGGTTAAAAGCCTGAGTAGGCCCGTACCCCATTTCTTTTCACAGTTCCACCCCATGTTTTTTTTTTTTTTTTTTTTTTAATACCTGATAATTTTTTTTTAACATTTGTAATTTCCAAGTATAAAAAAATTCCATTCGATCAGAAAATATAATTGTTTAAAATAGTTTACTTAATTAGTTACTTTCAACCAGTGTTTGTGTAAATGTGTGAGATAGAGAGAAAGGCTCAAAGAATACTGAATGCAGAGAACAAAAAGACAATTCAATTTATTGTCAGTTTTTAACAGATTAAGGTTTCCATCTTAATGATCATTTTTCAATTTGTTGCTTCACTTTCTAGCAAAGTATCAATGGGCTTATTCATTTTTAAAATTCATTGCAATAACTTCTTACCCTAATGACTGAAAAAATTAAAGAAAAAGTCAAATTTCATTCTTTATAAATAAATAAACTAAGGAATTTTTTTATTAGCAAACCTGCAGTTAACATTGTCATTTATCTATGCAGAAGGTATATAAATGTGTAAATATCTTAAATTCTCTTCAGTATAATTGTTAGGCGAGTAGCCAAAATGGCAAATGTAAGGACAGCCATGTTAAATACAAAAAGTATACATTCTTAAAAAAAAAAAAAAAATGCAAAACTGTTACCACATTTTGAAAAGATAATTTTTTTAATTTCTACATTTTGATCTCATACACCAATATATTTTTTCCTCCTAAATCTATATACAAACAAAACTATAAATACTAGTTCACTTTCAAAATAATGTAATGAGTAATTAAAATAGTTGACTTAGATCATGACTTTTGGGATTTTTTTAAGCTGGTGAAATAAAAATTCAAGATTTAATAAAAATGTCCACATAATAAGAAAAATATTATATTCTATACGATCAGTGAGCCTATACAATATAACAGAGCTTAGATTAGTGTTCTGGTCACAAAAACACTGTCGTACCAATGCCGAGCTTTTGACGATATGTTTTGTCTTATTCAAGTCATAATTTCACATAGCCAAAATTTAAAAACATTGTTTTGTTGCTTATGAAAAACTGAAAACAGTCTTGACCCTATCATTGGACATTAAAAATCCTTAATAAAAATTATTAAAAAAGATTTTACAAAAAAAAAATGTAAGTACAGACATGATGGATTAGAAATGTACGTTAATTTCTTCTTTACTTCGTAAATATCTCAAGGTATACATTAAATAAAGTAATTTCTGTCATAAAGGACAGCTTATCATCTGACTACTAATTGGTTGTCGCGATTTTTCAAATTCTATAAAGAAAAATTAAATTTCAGAATTGAATTATTGAGCTGTAAACAGAAGGCTCTATAGTATGAATGTATTTTGTTTAAAATTAATAATAGTAAATTAAATAATAGTAAATTATTGACAGTCATTTCAAATAAAGAAATTGAAGTAGTGTGTCGTGTGCAGTAGTGCAGTACAATTAAAAGAAATGGCAAGATTTAGTCTTTAAAACTATTCATAGTTATAATTATTATCAAAAATATATTTGATTATAGGTAATTAATGCCCACATTGATAATAGCTTAGTCATTTACTAATCAATCATATTTTTTCCCCCAATCACATCTGGAATTGTGTACAATTAACAATTCCAAAAGAGCACAACTTCAATCATAAACTGCATAGTATTCTCCACAAATTGTCCACTGTTGTGGCTAAAGTCATTCTTATTTTGCATAAAGTTGAGAACAGGGTGTTTTTTCATCAGTTTGTTATACCTGGTAAGTGCATATGAAGTACGGACATGCCCATCGTAAAGTGATTTGCTCTGTTTTTTGTTTTTGTTTTTCCACTAGGCTTGGGGCAGTATGAATTTTATAGAGTTACTGTCATCTGCAGAGTACATGTTCTCTTATAGCTTGGAGAAAAAATACATTTGTATGCGTTAAATTGGTTGTCGTTGTCTTTTTAAGTATAAATAATTTGTGTTTACAAAATGTTATAATTTATCATAGCTGTGTTTTTTACATACGATGTAATGCCAACACTTACGTTCATATTTTCAATATTTTTCATATATGGACTTTACAAGGTTAGTATATATTTTAATTATTTTTACTTGTGTTTTTAATTGTAAGTCGTAAAACATTTTTTAAGATTTATCAATGTCTTATTTACATATGTTTACGACTTTGAATAAATTGTTTTATTTCAGGAACACCTATTATTTGTGTTTAGCGGAGTTTCTCTTTTGTGCTTTCTTTTTAGTTTATTTGTACTGATAATCGTGTATTCATTAATCAGAAATTATTTCTCTGGTATTCGGTACATATCCTTACTGTTAACCTCATTAGGTTTGTACAATAGAAGAATAAATTAATACATTTGTTTTTGGTATTATTTTTTTAATACTCTTTCAGGTTCGGCATTCTTGAGTCTGATTGTAATGAAGAGTTATTACAATGAGTTGTTTTTAAAAAAGAGCAAGACAAGTCATACATTGGAAGAACATCAAATTGAAACGTCTGAATTTGAAAACACACAATAGTTTAGTTGAATAATTTTCTCCATCGAATAATTTATTTAAATCACTATTATTGTTTTGAATAAACACTGTTTTATATTTTACATTTATTCATTCTATATTACGTTATTAAAAACATTGAGGTTGCAGTGTTAAGTTTTCTTTTCAAAACTGTTCACGTTATGACTAAAATTAATTATGTATTGAGAAGTATAAATATGTATTTGTGCATTATTTGATAAAAATAAAATCTAATCAATATTAATAGAAGTTTTTTTTAAATTACTATCAAATCTCAAATTATTTTCAGGCCCAGGACCTGTGATGATTTAGCTACAATACGGCTATTTCCAATTTTTTAATTAATTTTTATGCCTGGGCTAGATAAAGAAGGAAACAAAAATCTAAACAAAAGGAAAAACTTTTTTTCAGTATGGACGGTATTAAAGTGTGAACCGCTCAATGTTGGTCTCGCAAGGTTGGAGCCCCGGATGCAAAACCGAAATACAACCTATTGTTCTAAAAAGTGTGGAAATAGGGAAAAACAAGGAAAATCCTAGAAAATTGTGGAAAATTTGAAAAGGCAAATTGAAGGTGCTCACTGGGCGAGGTTGATACAAAGCTGAGTTGAAACAGAGTTGTGCTAGAGAGATGGTTTTTTCACAGATCTTAACTACACAGACGAATCAGAACTGTTGGAAAGGATGTGGTAGAAAGTCTAAAGGGATCAAAGATATAACAAATTAAGTCTAGGTTTTGTTGCATGTTTGTTGTTTAGAATATGTAATTTTATCTGAATGTTGTTGTCAGTTGGATCTTCAGGAGGTCAAATACTTCAATTCAAGCGAAGTACGAAAGTACAAAGTTTTTTCTTAGAATTGGGCTCAGAGCAGCTGCACACCAAATTCTCTATCTCTGCTCAATATCAATTAATTTTTTCCTACTCATCCTGGATCAACTTGGTAAACAGTCTTCAGAAGGCACACTGTAATGCATTTCCTGTTCCTTCCAACATCTACCACATTAATAAATGTTTGTTCAAGGTCTTCTACTTTCATTCTGGATTGAAGCATGCTATTATCCTAACACTTCCAAAAATTAATTCACCAAAACATATAACTGATTTTCAACCAATAAGTTTTCTTCCAATTTCCCCAAATCTTCTCTTCCCGTATCAATAGGTGCCCCTCAGGGCTATATCCTGGCCCCCCTGTTGTTTCCACTGTTCAGTATTATCTATTTGCTCTGAACGTCATTGTTTTGCCAATGATTTTCAATTTTATATGCATTGCCCTCCTTGATAAATTAATTCAATATATCTCAAAAATTAACCAAGAGCTTATATCAATTTTAAATTGGAACAAAACCAATTTGATTAATATTGATTCTATTAAATCACAAACTATTGTTATTTATGAAAATTGTTTGGGAATTTCTTATTTTGTTGGATCAATTATCCAAATTTTGTTTGAAAATTCCCCCCCCCCGCCGATTAAGCACCTTTCTTGCAATCTCAATCGAAAAACTCAAGTTGAGAAAACTTGTCGCAATATTTATGGTTCCGTAATATTCCCCAAATAGATTTTCCTACCTTACATCTTATTCCTTATGTCTAAAATTAATTACTTGTTGTTTCCATTTTTCAGTATTGTGACATAATTTTCTCAAATTCACTTGATTTTAAATCAGTAAAGATAAAATACTTATTTTCAATTGTGAACTTTATCAGTAAGTGGAGAAGCTTTAAGATTATTTTTAAAGATTTTTCAAATTTATCCTTTACAAGAATATTCAGAGTGATAATTATTTTTAAAAAAAAGTCTGATTATATGTAATTAATACATAAGTGGACAGGTTAAACAATAACAATTTGAAAACGTCAAATTACTATATTGTCAAAATTATAATCTATTGTGAAGAAAAATGTACAAATAAATAAATAAAAATAAATTAATTAATGTGATTAGAGATATTAATATTAATTTATCTTGAACACAAAAGTGATCACATGGAATGCTAGTGATTTTTATTTGAACTTTTTTATGATAGACTCACAGTGAAGCAGTATGAACAAGATAATAGCTTAGTCTTTATCTCGTCTAATAATCAATTTTAATTTTTTTCCAAATACATCTGGAATTGTGTTCGATTATCAGTATTCCAAAGGCCCACAACAGCAATCATGAATTACAAAGGATTTGTCACGAATTGTCCACTGTTTCAGCTAAAGTCATTCTTTTTTTGCATGAAATTAAGAACAGGGTGTTATTTCATCAGTTTGCTATACCTGGTAAGTGCATATGAAGTATGGACATACCTATCGTAAAGTGATCCACTCTGTTTTTTTTCCATCAGGCTTGGGGCGGTATTCTTTTTAGAGAAGAACTCTCATCTGCAGAGTTCATGTTCTCTTACAGATTGGAGAACAAATACGTTTGTATGCATTAAATTGGTTGTCATTGTCTTTTTCAAGTATAACTAATTTGTGTTTATAAAATTTCATAACTTCTCCTAGCTGTGTTTTTTACATACGATGTAATGCCAACTCTTATGGTCATATTTTCAATATTTTTCATATATGGACTTTACAAGGTTCGTATTTATTTTATATTTACTTACATTTTTAATTGTACTTCTTAATACATTTTTCAAGAATATTATTTTCTTATTTAACTATGATTATGACTATGAATAAATTGTTTTATTTCAGGAACACCTATTATTTGTGTTTAGCGGAGTTTCTCTTATAAGCTTGCTTTTTAGCTTATTTGTAATGATAATGGTGGATGCATCAATCAGACATTACATTTCTGATACTGAGTATCTGTCCTTACTGTTAACCTTATTAGGTTTGTACAATAGAATTAAAAAAATTAATACATTTGTTTTTGAGATTATTATTTTTTTAATACATATATTTCAGGTTTGGCTTTTTTGAGTCTGATTGTAGTGAAGAGTTACTACAATGAGTTGTCTTTAAAAAAGAACCGGACGAGTCGTACATTAGAAGAACGTCAAACAGCAAACACTGAATTTGAAAACCCACAATCGTTAAGTTGAATAATTTTCTCTATCAAATGATTTCTTTAATTCACTATTATTTGTTTTGATTAACATTGTTTTGTATTTAATGTTTATTAACTATTTATTATGTTATTAAATCATTAAAGTTGCAGTGTTATGTTTTCATTTTGAAACTGCCCATGTAATAATAATTATTTATTGAGATGTACAATCATGTATTAGTGCATTTTTTGATAAAAAATAAAATGTAATCAATATTAATATTAGTTTCATTGTTTTAAATTTCCATCAAATTTCATGTCATTTTCTGGTCCAGGACTTACTACATTAGAGCTCTTTTCTTTTTTTAAAATGAATTATTTATTTTTGGGCTTGATAAAGAAGGAAACAAAATGTTTAAAAAGTTAAAAACTCTCATTTTGGTATGGTCTATATTAAAGTGTGAACCATTCACTTTCGGTCTTACAGTTGGTTACAATGTCTCGCAAGGTGCAACACCGAAGTACAACCTGCGGTACCAAAAGATGTGTTAACAGGGAAAAACAAGAAAAATCATGGAAAAATTGTGAAGGAAAATTTAAGGGGGAGAAAGAGGGGTGTTCACTGGGTGAGGTTAATACAAAGCCAAGTTGAGCTCGAGAGATGGTTTTTTTCCCACATCTTAACTATACAGACAAATCAGAACTGTTGGAAAGGACGTGGAAGTGGTTGAGGATGGGTCTAAAGTAATCAAAGATTGTGGCTACCAGTCGGAGGATGAACTTTTCACTAGTAATCCAAGTTGCATAAACACCTGCTCGTTTAAATTTTACTATCCAGAAGTATTTCCATTCTGTTTCCATTTTGATTTCATCGTCATCAAAAAAATCCTTCAATGTTTTAAACCTAAAAAACGCTCCCCATTCATCAAATCACGACTTTTTACCAATGATTTTTCTCTTTCACTTAAATTTTAGAGCGTGTGATCTGAATCTGTCTTCTAGATTAGTCTTCAAATCCTTCTGCAATAATTAAACAATGATTAAAATTAAATGCATGAATATATTTAATGGAGGGTTTCTACATGTTAAAATAATTCTTTCAATTGTTGTTGAATCAACTTTTTTAAACTAAGTGCTATATGATGTATTGAGCAATATATATAATCAATAATCTACAAGTGTTTTTTTAAACAAATTTATACTTTATTTACAATATATATAATATAAAAAATAAAATAAAATACAATTTGTTAATTTCTACCTCATTTTCTTCTGCTTTATGAGGTAATTCCTCAAGGCAATTTATATGAAAAAAAGTAAACATTCAGATAAAATACTAATAGTTACCTGTTTTTCTATGAAAGAATGGGTAAGTTCAGATGGAGCCTAAATAAATAATTAAAAATATTAAAAAAACAATATGAATAAAATTAGCATTAGCCATGCCATGTAACCGTAATGGGACCACAGTTCTAATGCTGTATACAATAAATAAATAAGTGGGATGGGTAAGTGATTGAAAATTAATCTTTAATTTATACATCTTTGAGCTAATTTTGAATTATTGCGATTTGTCCTAGTTGTACTGTTTGTACCCAATGCACAACAACGAGTTGACTTTGAAAAAAAAATACTCACACCAACTTAGTAAAGTGTGAATGTACAAATTCGACCAAGTTTGAAAACGTACAAATGTTAAGTCAAATGCACCTCTTCTTCAATAATTGANTTATTATGTCAGTAAATCATTAAAGTTGCACTACTGTTTTCATTTTGAAACTGCCCATTTAATAATATTTATTTATTGAGATGTACAATCATGTATTAGTGCATTATTTAATAAAAAATAAAATGTAATCAACATTAATATTAGTTTCATTGTTTAAAATTTCCATCAAATTTCATGTTATTTTCTGGTCCAAGATTTACTACATTAGAGCTCTTTTCTTTTATTTAATCAATTATTTATGTTTAGGCTTGATAAAGGATAAAAAAATTTAAAAATGTTAAAATTCTTTTTTTCATATGGTCAATTTTAAGGTGTGAACCTGCGGTACCAAAAGACAATGTTTCTATTAACAGGGAAAAACAAGGAAAATCATGAAAAAAATGGAAAAATTATATATAATCAATAATGTGCAAATGTTTTTTAAATAACTGTATACTTTACAATATTTATAAAATTAAAATAAAATACAAGTTGTTTATATTCTACCACATTTTCTTCTTCTTTATGAGGTAATTCCACAAAGCAATTTATACAAAAAAAAAGAAAAAATAATAAACATTCAGATAAAATATTTTCCTTTTCTTTAGTTACCTGTTTTTCTATGAAAGAATGGGTAAGTTCAGATGGAGCCTAAATAAATAATTAAAAAAATAATATGAATGATATTAGCATTAGCCATGCCATGTAACCGTAATGGGACCGCAGTTCTAATGCTGTATACAATAAATAAATAAGTGGGATGGGTAAGGGATTGAAAATTAATCTTTAATTTATACATCTTTGAGCTAATTTTGAATTATTGCGATTTGTCCTAGCTGTACTGTTTGTACCCAATGCGCAACAACAGTTGACTTTGAAAAAAAAATACACACACCAACTTAGTACTGTGTGAACGTACAAATTCGACCTTTTGAAAACGTACAAATGTTAAGTCGAATGCACCTCTTCTTCAATAATTGATATCGCCTAGTCAAAGTTTTGTGCAATCAGTCGATGTTTTCCATGTAGAATTTATTACTTTTAATTGAAAATACAATCTTTAATGTTTTTTTGTGTAAATTGTGATAAAGAATAAAGTGTACATGTAATATGAAATTATGTTAATACTATCATTAATGATCAATATACAAGTAACCTAAAATTGTTAGCATATGCAAAGCATGAAAAATTTATTATCTGGTATTTATTGTTTTGTAATCAATGTAATAGTTTTTTTTTAGAACTGCTAGAATTATCAATCTTCCATTAATTAATTTTCCTAGTAATTCAGTTAAATTAATCTTATACTCATTTTTCCCTAAGAATACTAAACAAATCCTTTTTCTTTACTATTTCCTTCTAATTTTTAGTCAGCCTGACACTTAGATGTGTTAGATATCAATAATGGACTTTACAGATGAAAGTGAATTGTACAAAAATAGACAAAAAAAAATTAAGACATTACTAATAAGCAAAAAACATGCTAACACCAAAAGTAATCTCACTTGAATCATTTTAATTCTTATCAGCTTACTGTGTTCCCGAATAAATTAGGGAGAGAAAAAAAGTGAATCATTAACTGCCAATGTCCAGTATTTTAATGACTATCCACTTCACTGCGTTTTATTAAACGCACATTAAAAATATTTTAATAAAAATTATTACAAAATGGCTTTACAAAACAACCTATAGTAGACTAGAAGTAAATAGAGAAATACGTTAATTTCTTCTTTACTTTACATATATCTCAAGGTATAAGTTAATTAATTAATGTGATTAGAGATATTAATTTATCTTGAACACAAAAGTGATCACATGGAATGCTAGCGATTTTTATTTGAACTTTTTTATGATAGGCACACAGTGAAGCAGTATGAAAAAGATAATTGCTTAGTCGTTATCTCGTCTAATAATCAATTTCAATTTTTTTCAAAACACATCTGGAACAAGTTTCGATAATCAGTATTCCAAAGGCCCACAACAGCGATCATGAATTGCATAGGATTCATCACAAATTGTCCACTGTTTCAGCTAAAATCTTTCTTTTTTTGTATGAAGTTGAGAACAGGGTGTTTTTTCATCAGTGTGTTATACCTGGTAAGTGCATATGAAGTACGGACATACCTATCGCCAAGTGATCCCCTCTGTTTGTTTTTTCCACCAGGCTTTGGGCGGTATGCTTTTTATAGAAGAACTCTCATCTGCAGAGTTCATGTTCTCTTACAGCTTGGAGAACAAATACGTTTGTATGCATTAAGTTGGTTGTCGTTGTCTTTTTTAAGTATAACTAATTTGTGTTTATGAAATTTCATAATTTCTCATAGCTGTGTTTTTTGCATACGATGTAATGCCAACTCTTGCAGTCACATTTGCAATTTTTTTCATGTATGGACTTTACAAGGTTCGTACTTATTTTATATGTACTTATGTTTTTAATTGTAGTACATAATATATTTTTCAAGAATATTATTTTCTTATTTAACTATGATTATGACTATGAATAAATGTTTTATTTCAGGAACACCTATTATTCGTGTATAGCGGAGTTTCTCTTATATACTTCCTTTTTAGCTTATACTTATTGATAATTGTGGAGGTAGTAATCGAACATTATGATTTTGATACTCAGTACATGTCCTTACTGTTAATCTTATTAGGTTTGTACAATAGAATAAAAAATTAATGCATTCATTTTTGGGATTATTATTTTTTTAATACATATATTTCAGGTTTGGCTATTTTGAATCTGATTGTAGTGAAAAGTTATTACAATGAGTTGTCTCTAAAAAAGAACAGGACAAGTCATACATTAGAAGAACGTCAAACAGCAAACACTGAATTTGAAAACCCACAATCGNGAATAAAACGTATATGTAATGTGAAATTATGTTTGTACAATGATCAATATACAAGTAACCTAAAATTGTTAGCATATACAAAGAAGCATGAAAAATTTATTATCTGGTATTTATTGTTTTGTAATCAATGTAATAGTTTTTTTTTAGAACTGCTAGAATTATCAATCTTCCATTAATTAATTTTTCTAGTAATTCAGTAAAATTAATCTTATACTCATTTTTCCCTAAGAACACTAAACAAATCCTTTTTCTTTACTATTTCCTTCTAATTTTTAGTCAGCCTGACACTTAGATGTGTTGGATATCAATAATGGACTTTACAGCTCAAAGTGTAAATTGTACAAACATAGACAAAAAAAATTAAGACATTACTAATAAGCAAAAAACATGCTAACACCAAAAGTAATGTCACTTGAATCATTTTAATTCTTATCAGCTTACTGTGTTCTCGAATAAATCAGGGAGAGAAAAAAGTGAATCATTAACTGCCAATGTCCATTATTTTAATGACTATACCCTTAACTGCGTTTTTGCTTAAGAAAAACTGAAAACAGTCTTGCTTCTATCAGTGGACTTTAAAAATATCTTAATAAAAATTATTACAAAACATGGCTTTACAAAACCTATAATAGATTAGACGTAAATAGAGAAATACGTTAATTTCTTCTTTACTTTACATATATCTCAAGGTATAAGTTAATTAATTAATGTGATTACAGATATTAATATTAATTTATCTTGAACACAAAAGTGATCACATGGAATGCTAGCGATTTTTATTTGAACTTTTTTATGATAGGCACACAGTGAAGCAGTATGAAAAAGATAATTGCTTAGTTGTTATCTCGTCTAATAATCAATTTTAATTTTTTTCCAAACACATCTGGAATTGTGTTCGATAATCAATATTCCAAAGGCCCACAACAGCGATCATGAATTGCATAGGACTCATCACAAATTGTCCACTGTTTCGGCTAAAATCATTCTTTTTTTGCATGAAGTTGAGGACAGGGTGTTTTTTCATCAGTTTGTTATACCTGGTAAGTGCATATGAAGTACGGAAATACCCATCGTAAAGTTGTCTGCTCTGTTTTTTCAACCAGGCTTGGGGCGGTATGCTTTTTATAGAAGAACTCGCATCTGCAGAGTTCATGTTCACTTACAGCTTGGAGAGAAAATACGTTTGTATGCATTCAGTTGGTTGTCGTTGTCTTTTTTAAGTATAACTAATTTGTGTTTATAAAATTTCATAACTTCTCATAGCTGTGCTTTTTGCATACGATGTAATGCCAACTCTTATGGTCACATTTTCAATATTTTTCATATATGGACTTTACAAGGTTCGTANTGATTGAAAATTAATCTTTAATTTATACATCTTTGAGCTAATTTTGAATTATTGCGATTTGTCCTAGCTGTACTGTTTGTACCCAATGCGCAACAACAATGAGTTGACTTTGAAAAAGAAAAATACACACACCAACTTAGTACTGTGTGAACGTACAAATGTTAAGTCGAATGCACCTCTTCTTCAATAATTGATATCGCCTAGTCAAAGTTTTGTGCAATCAGTCGATGTTTTCCATGTAGAATTTATTACTTTTAATTGAAAATACAATCTTTAATGTTTTTTTGTGTAAATTGTGATAAAGAATAAAGTGTACATGTAATATGAAATTATGTTAATACTATCATTAATGATCAATATACAAGTAACCTAAAATTGTTAGCATATGCAAAGCATGAAAAATTTATTATCTTGTTATTTATTGTTTTGTAATCAATGTAATAGTTTTTTTTAGAACTGCTAGAATTATCAATCTTCCATTAATTAATTTTCCTAGTAATTCAGTTAAATTAATCTCATACTCATTTTTCCCTAAAATACTAAACCTTTTTTCTTTACTATTTCCTTCTAATTTTTATTCAGTCTGACACAGATGTGCAAAAAACGTGCTAACACCAAAAGTTATCTCACTTGAATCATTTTAATTCTTATCAGCTTATTAAGTGCCCAAATAAATTAGGGAGAGAAAAAAACCATCATTAGCTGCCAATGTCCATTATTTTAATTACTATCCATCAGATATTGACTTAACCAATTTTGCTATGTATGCTTTTTATAGAAGAGCTCGCATCTGCAGTTCATATTCTCTTACAAATTGGAGAGAAAATTGGTTGTCGTTGTCTTTTTTAAGTATAACTAATTTGTGTTTATACAAATTTCATAACTTCTCATAGCTATGTTTTATGCATACGATGTAATGCCAACATTTACAATCTTATTTTCAATATATTTCATATATGGACTATACAAGGTTTGTATTTATTTTATATTTGTTTTTAATTGTAGTTCGTCATACAATTTTCAAGTTTTACCATTGTCTTATTTAACTATGATTATAACTATGAATAATTTTTTTTATTTCAGAAACACCTATTATTTGTGTTTAGCGGAGTGTCTCTTATATACTTCCTTTTGGGCTTTTTTGTAATGATAGTCATGGACACATTAATCAAACATAATACTCAGTACATATCCTTACTGTTAACCATTCTAGGTTTGTACGATAGAATAAAAAATGAATGCATTCGATTTTGGGATTAATTTTTTTTTAAATACATATATTTAAGATTTGGATTTTTTGTGTCTGATTTTAGTGAAGAGTTATTACAATGAGTTGTCTTTAAAAAAGAACGGGACAAGTCGTACATTAGAAGAACGTCAAACAGCGAACACTGAATTTGAAAATCCACAATCGTTATGATGAATAATTTTCTCTATCCAATGATTTATTTAATTCACTATTATTTGTTTCGAATAAGCATCGTTTTATGTTTATTAACTATTTATTATGTTATTAAATCATTAAAGTTGCAGTGTTGTCTTTTTGAAACTGCTCATGCAATAACAATTATTTATTACGATGTACAATTATGTATTAGTGCATTATTTGACACAAAATGAAATGTAATCAATATTAATATGTTTCATTTTTTTAAATTGATTTCATCGTCATAAAACAAATCCTTTGATGTTTTAAGCCTAAAAAACGCTCTCCATTCATCAAATCACCACTTTTTACCATTGATTTTTCACTTTCTCTTAAATTTTAGGGCGTGTGATCTGAATCTGTCTTCTAGATTAGTCTTCAAATCCTTCTGTCATATTTAAACAATGATTAAAATTAAATGCATGAATACATTTAATTGAGGGTTTCTACATGTTAAAATAATTCTTTCGTTGTCATTGAATCAACTTTTTAAAACTAAGTGCGTTATGATGTATCGAACAATATCTATATATAATCAATTATCCACAAGTGTTTTTTAAACAAATTTATACTTTATTTACAATATTAATAATATAAAAAATAAAATAAAATACAAGTTGTTTACATTCTACCTCATTTTCTTCTGCTTTATGAGGTAATTCCTCAAGGCAATCTATATGAAAAAAACAAAAAATAGTAAACATTCAGATAAAATATTTTATTTTTCTTTAATTACCTGTTTGTCTTTGAAAGAACGTTTTATTTTGCTCCTTGCCTTGTGTCTGATCATCATGAAATTCTTTTTCTTTCTTTTTTCGTTATTGGTAGTACTCGCGAATGGATTCTGCCGACCGTCTTTATAACCAAATTTCTCCCTGCCTTCTTGTCCTTTCTACAAAAGGGAATACAAACATTAAAAAGGGTAATAAATGATAGCAACGTCATGTAAGCGTTGGCATACACGTATTGAGTTGATACGATCTTCTTTAGAATTTTTCCTCTTTTTGTAGATGTTTTCAATGTCTCCGAGTGTGAGTAATTTCTCCCTGAAAGAAGAAAACGAACGGAGCTAGCTGTGCTTCTTTGTTTGACCAATATACAAAAATACCTTTCTTCTGGTTCTTCTTCGGCAGGACGCTTTACACCGCGGCGGTTAAGAGTGTTCATCTGCTTGCTCAGTTGTGCAGCTTCAATTCTCTTGAAGTCCTCATCAGTTAGAAATTTCCCCAAACTGATTTCCCCAGCAAGTTTAGCCTTTTCAGCAAGTATATCTGTTTTCTTCTTTCTTATTTTTACTTCCTTACATTAAAAAAAAATAATTTTAATATAATTATGGAGAAAGTTGAATTTGATTTTTTTTATAGAAAACATACCTTTTTACCAGTTTTTTTGCCATCATCTTCTACTTCATCATCATCTTCCTCTTCATCTTCTTCTTCCTCTTCTTCCATTTCTTCAGAATCTCCATCAGCCTCTTTATCTGAATGATCTACATCAACCCATTCACCATCATCATCTTCATCACTGTCATCATCGCTAATATGGATCTCTTTTTCTTCCTGTAAAATTAAAAAAAAAAAACTTATTTTATGAAAGGAAGGGTTTTATTATCATTTCACCTCTGGCTCTTTCAGTAAGACTTCAGCACCCGGGATATAATCTTTTGAGTCAATCTCACCAAATTTTCTGACTTTCAAGTCAATAACCGCCTCAGTCGGACGGCCCTGAAAATGTATTTCAAAATCAGATTATTTTAAATGGGTGACTTTTAGATACCACCCTACCCTGTCTTTCTTATGCAGCATCTCAGGCAAAGAGGTACGGTAGAGGTGAATCAACGCCTTAGCAGCCATTGAGACGCTGCGTTCCTTGTAGTGCTTGTACTGCACCAGGTCTCGTAAAAGGTCTTCATTCATCGCAAGAGGACACCGAGCACAAAGTTCCCTCACAGCGTTGATCCTAAGATTTACAGTTCATTAAAATATTATATACAATAAAAAAATTTTAAAGTACCCAATAGCCATTGCATCAGAACTATTCCTCTCTGTTACAAAATTATTCACAAGCGTCTTCAATACAGGCTCAAGTACCTAGAAAACAATTCTTATAAATTAATAATTAATATTATTATAATTTAGATTACATACATCAGGTGGCACTTGATCGTGAGAAGCCTGACCGGTGAAAAGTAGGAGCTTTGTTACATCTACAAAATTTATGTAAATTTAAAAAAATTATTACAAACTGATGCTTTAATTATGCTTAAAAGAGTAAAAGAGAGGGAGGTGAAGAAAAGAAGAGTGAGAAAGAGCGAGAGATAAATAAAAGAAAGAGGGAAATTGAAGAAAGAAAATTAGGAACATATAAAAAAATAAGCAAGTAGATATAAGAGAATAAGCTGAAAATAGAGACAAAGAGAAAGAGAAAGAGAAAGTGTGTGAAAATTTACATTTTTTATGAGAACTTCAAATGATCAAATTATTATACCAAAATAATTAATTTAAGGCAGAACATGGCTAACTTTAACTTTCCAAACTGCTTCCAAACCTTACCTTTTTGATGTGGTTGAAGAAACCGTTGAATAAATGGGTAGAAATTCAACAGTATTAACTTGTGTAGGCCGATCAGCCTTGATATGACATCAAGCGTCAAGACTTTGACTTCAAACCTTTCCCTTGAATTTTCCACCTGCTTGAAAAGCTTCTCGGCAAATCCTGTAAAGAGTTTACCTCTTTCAAGTTAAAAGTTAAGAAGAGAAATAAAATGTTAATACCTTGAGGATCGTGAAGCAAGTTGAGTGCCGAGACATTAAAAGATGGTGCTTTTTTCTTTTTCTTCTGGGATTTCTGATAAATAGAAACGAAAATGAGTGAAAATTTAAATAATAAATTGAATATTGAACAGAACCAAACATACGGAAACAAGTTGTTTGGCTTTTTTAAGCTGTTTTTCCCTTTTTCGTGTTTTTTTATTGAATTTATTTGCCATTATAACATCTTTTGCGGTTGGTGCATCCTGAAAATTTTTTTTTTATTAGATCGTAAATAATTTTATATAACAGTACTTAATTATTACATTGTCAGAATCACTATCATCAGAATCTTTTGCTGGTTCGTCAGAGCTCAAAAAAAATTTCAATGCGGCTACCATGACCTTGATGATTTTTGACGAGCAAGCAGTGGCGATCACATTAACAGTCTTGGCATCGTTCCAAACATTTTTCTTGTAAAGTTCGGTCATTATGTTCTAAAAAAGTAATCAACAATGAAAACAAGATTTAGTATTGATATTTGGGACTTTCCAAACACACCAAAGACATTTTCACGGCCTTTGAGTTTCCATCATTGAGCATGTTGTACATGAAATTCTGCAAGGTCTGGAAAAAATTTAACATCAGTAATTTGTAAGATCATAGGGAAAGACCCACTTACCGTATTCAATTTCATGTTTTTACTCTTGGAATTTATATTTTTGATGTCGTTGATGATGTGGCTTTCAAGGAATTGTCTGAGCACTTTATCGTGAGAGCGTAGAAGCTGAAAGAACAATGTTAACAGATCTGTCGGGGCTAGAAGATTTTTATTCCTTAGCAGAATCAAAGCCCTACAAAACGCCTACAAAAAAGAACAAAATCTCACAATCATTATAACATATTCGTGATGACTTTTTGTTGTTACCATTCTCATATCAGGATCCAGGACAGTGTTATGCTGGCTGAGTATGTCCATAATTTCTTGAGCAAAGTTAATGAGCTTTTCCGGGTAGCAGTGAGCAACTTGGGCCATGAACATGACCAACTCCATGAGGCTCTTGTTGCTCTCATTAGGATTCACTTTGAAAAGGGATATCAAGGCTTTGTAATGCTTCTCTTGTTGGAGGAACTGTAAACAATAAAAAAATAAAACAATTTAATGTAAGGAGTTATTGAAAGTTTGTAAGTACAGTATAAATCGTTTATAACGAACTTCAGGGAGCCATACAATTTTGTACATTATAAGTGGTAATATAAGTTTGTTATATCTGAATATTTCATCCAATTGATAGGCATGTACATTTATAGCAGAGAAGTTTCCATTATAAGTAATTATATAATTTATCCAGTTTTATGAGTAAGTACAAAATACATATTAACCTGCTAAAGTAATTTATTTTTAAAAAATTTTGTTTTAAATATATATGTATTTATGTTTTTGACTGCAGTATAACTGTAGTATGTAATCTGTTATTTTCCCCCCGTATTTTTACCGTTATGGCACTTATTAAATTATTTGATTTTTTCTCTTTATTTTTCACAAGTTCCGATATTTTGGAACGAGATTCTCCATTTCACTTGCGAGACTGCTTGCACAAACTCCCGATTCAATTTGAGAAATTATCGCAAATTTTTTCTCAACAGAAGAGACTACTAGAAATGATAAATGTTGGAGTGAGTGTATTGTTTAAACTTTTTCAACAAGATAGTTCTCGACTCACAGCTTGTTGTTTTCAACAATTTCAAGCTTATAGTTTATCACATCTCATCCCATTTTTCAAGATGAACAGTTTGAAGCTATTTAATGCTTGTTGGGGGTGGTGAACAATCTGTCTCTTTATCATGTACTATGGTTTGTCAAGAGTATGACGTGTTCACCAATTCATTGTGGTAATCCCTCATCCAATGGGTAACTTGAACTACAAGAGGTCGGGCATTATCATGCATTAACGCAAAGTTGTCTCCAATAAATAGAGTGAATGCGACTACAGCTTCTAGAATAACTTCCTCAATGTATCTTACTGCAGTCAAAGATCTGTTCTGTATGATAATCAGTTCGGTATGGGCATGGAAGATAGATCCACCCAAAACCATTGCCAAGGCTGTGACCCACACGTGGTACATGAAGCAAAGCATTCTTGGACATCGGATTGCCACAAACCGAATCGGACTCATCTGTGAAGAGAATAGCCCCCCACTGTTGGACTATCCAAGCGAGATGCTGATTTGTGAATAGCCACTTTTCTACTCGATGCGTGTAGAGAACCTGATGAGGTACGTCTTGATTATTCTAGACTTCTAGCCTATTCTCATGAAGTCTTCTGACGACTATACTAGAGCTCACCCTTACATACACAACTTTTGGAGTTGACCCAAAAAGTCGTTAAATGATAGTAGTGTAGTCAGTAAGATAAAACGATCATCTCTAGCTGATCACTACATTCTCTAAATCGCTGTACACCATCATGGATGGTAAAGTGCAACACACCCAGGACTTTAGCTGTGTTACGGACGCTATGTCCGTAGTTGGCCTAAGGACCTGTCTGGCAAGATCTCAACTTAAAACCATACTTTTAAGAAAAAAGTTAATAATTAATTTTTTACTCAAATTTATTGTTTCATCGACTAAAACAAAAACAACAAGAAAACAAACTCACTCGACAAGTTGGCACTAGAAAGGGTGAACAAATTTTAATCCTAATTGTTAATAACAGATTTAATTAAGAATAGTAAAAATGTTGATTATTCATTTTTTAAACTAACACCTTTTCTAGTCTTTTCTCTATTTTAATCCTATTACTGTATTCTCTTTAACCACCTAAAGACATCATCTTGAACCAGAAGTTCGCAATATTGCAATATTAATCTGAGAATTCTGAAAATGAGTCATCTAAGGCACCTGCGAGTGGAAATCGCAAAGGCAGTTGGCGTTTCTCACGTCTTTTCCCGAGCTTTAGCCCTTTTCGAAGAAACTTGAAGTGCCAATAGGAGGTCTGGTAATGTACCTCAGCGCATTATGATGCTAAGGTAGGACAGAAATATTGTCATTGTTGCAAGTCGGAACCATTTCCATAGTGCCCAACAGATCCTAAATAAAGTACATGTTTTGGCAAGGCCTTTATCAACGATTACGAATCATTTGTGGGAAGTTGACATCACATCGTATGCCTATTTGAGATGACCTGCAGTAAGAGCCTGCTACCAACAACTCAGAAAAATGTGGTGCAACAAGCACCTAGAACACCAACTGGAATGCTGTTATGATTACTGATGAGACGCATTTCTGTCTGTACAGTGATAGCGGGTGCTAAAGAGCCTACTGAGAACTGAGAGCACATACAATGCCCCAGTTTGGAGGATGCGGTGTAATGGTCTGGGCTGGAATTTACACTGGAGGACGAACTGAACTACATATTGTTAAAGGCACCCTCACCGCGGTCTGTTATATCCAAGAAATTATCGAGGAATTCATCCCTCAAACCAGGGATCTCCGATTTCTGGATGACAATGCCGGACCTAAAGAGGCACAGTTGCTCATCACTCTTTAGAAAACCTGGGAATTTCATATCTGCTCCTTCCTCCATTGCCTCCAGACCTCAATACCATTGAGCACATGTGAGATATGTTGCAGAGAAGGCTTTTCAATCACCATATGCAGCCAGTTGACCTGCAACAACTGAGTGCAACTTTGCAACATCTATAGAGAGAAATTCCTTATGAAATTAATGACAACTTTATTAACAGTTAATAGTTAAGTTTAAACTAGACATTATACATGGTATTAATTGTTTAAAAAAATTGTTTTGGCCAATAAACAAAATTAAGGGCATAAAAATCTTTCATTTTGTTTTCAAAGCCCCTTAATTAAATTTTCCTTCAGTAAAAACATAATAATTTCTAATAAATTTTAATGTGTACAATTAAAATGCTAGGGAGAGTAAATACTACTAATTTAGCAATATTCCTTTTTCATATTCATATTGGCAATTTTCATTTTTGAGCTGTTTAGTGTCTTCTAGGTGATCACCAGCATTTACTCTATACATTTTATTTTATTTATTATTATTATAACTTTTTATTTTATTATTTTTTAAATATTTTTTTTGAACTTTGGGTGTATTTGAGAAGACTCACCCTGGCCATTTGAAGCATTAGGTAAATAATTGTCATGAAAAAAGTGGTAATTTTTGTAAATTCACCATTTCTATGAATGTATATGCAAAACATTAATCAGGGTTTTGTTTATTATACAGGCTATTAAGCTTTAAAGGCTAAAATTTGTGTTTATATATTTCACTTGTAGCATGTTTTATTATTCATGGAGAAATTCAACTTAAAAAAAATAGTTGTATCTTTATTTTATAACATTCCAGCAACAAAATTGAAATTAAGTAGCTTAATTGTACATATAAATTCTTAAATGTTGGGTGTTCAAAGCACTAATTTATTTTTCTCAGTTTGAAAGGAAACTCACTTCATCCTTATAAGAGGCCGGATCTCTTTTGATGAGATTTTGCAGCTGAGGCAAATTCTCCGGCAGCTGGTTGTTGTGCTTCTTGACCATTTTGAAGCACTTCTACAATTTACTTACACTCTACATCTACAGCACGTGCTGTAGTACGAGTTGACATTAGAAGGGACGTCAGGTTACAAGCGAACGACCTTATAGTCATAGGCGTCAGTTTGTCGTCACGGCTCGTTCTGGTTAATCATTATGTACTGTAGTAAAAAAGTACACAAATATACTCAATTTTTTTTACTATTTCCTCTATTAAATACAATTTTTGGTTAAGTTTGTGTGATAGCATCGTGTTCAGAGCAAAACAATTTTTCAGGCTGTGCTGAGCTTTCAGTGGTTTATTACTCATAGTGCTTGACCCATTAATATATAAAGAAGTGAATTAAAAGGTGCATTTATAATATTTACAACCATAGTTATTGGCTTGAATAAAATCTAGCTGGTGTTTGCTCAATTCCTGCAATTATCAGTTAGCCATTTATTTTTGGTATTTCCAGGTGCTATGCACAGAATCACAGATTCTCAATTAAAATTAGGAAAAACCAAGCAATTCGTTTTCCATATGACCTCTGAAGATCCCATTGTCCAAATTGCAGGTTGATAAACATCCAAAACAATTTGTGCTTTTTTCTATACTAATTTTGCTCTGTACTTTACTTTTTTAAGTATTTCCAATAATATTGTTCCAATCAGAGATTAAGCTTGTAAACTAAAACCAGTGAGACTATACAGAATCAGACATGATCTCTAATTATAAAGCTTAAAAAAACTAATCACATCTAATGACAATTCTTCCTTTAGAAAATAAATTACCCAGTAATGCCAATAAAACTCGTAATTTATAAAATTTATAAAACAAATGTAAAAACAATCAAATATTTACACTTTCATAAAAACATTAATTATTCCTCAGAAAAAGAAATTGGGTTATTTTGTCCTTTAATAATAAGGAGTTATTTTCTAATTTTTATTGTGGCCAGATAAGAAGGATTTTTTTTAAGCAATTACAATAATCCAGTATAAATATAAATTAAAATTCATACTTTAAATTACTTTTCTTTCATCATTAATAGTTTTCATATATAATTTGACTGTTATCGATTATCTTGGTCTGCCTATCCTCCTATCCGCCTCGCATTTCGCCATCTTCAGTGCTGTGTGACTTCTGTTTAATCCTATCATACAGATTCATTAATGAAATTGAAGAAAAACTGAAACAAAAAACTGAACCAACACAGCAAACATTGGCCAAGATGATCAGTAACGACCAAATTACAGGTCACAGGTCAGAAATTTCACTATTTTCATATGTACCTGTAATACTTGCATTTATAGTTTAGGTGTTGATACAGCGCTCATCACTGTAAGGTAAAAGTCCCAGGTTCGAATACAGTCGTTTTTTTCCCAAGAAAAAACTTGCATTTTGTCAGACAGACAAGAAAGAAATAACAAATTACCTATAATGGTAAACATTAATAAAATTGAACATTTTTCTCTGAAATAACATTTAGAAAAAGTTCTTAGTTTCTTCCTTCCCATTAAAAACTAATTTCTCTTTAGGTTAAACACAACCTAGATTTGTGAGGTGTCTGATGATGCCCAGTTCATTCAATTCCTCACTCTTGAATACTATGTGCGGACTAGTTTTAAAAAAATAAGACATTTCAGCTTAAGAGAAACTTGGTGCATATAGTTGGTCCAGCTGGAAGTGGTTACATTAGATTAGATTATAAAGGAGCTGGCCTCTTTACAACCTGTACACTGACCAGTATTGTTCTATTGTGCGTCTCCAGTTTTTTTTCCAATCTAGAGCTCATCATTAAGCTTGAGGCTTTTTACCAGACCCCAAAGCTTTTTCAAGGGCTCCCATGTGTATCTTTCAGGCCCTGGCTATTTCTTTCCCAGGTTTAGGAATCTCAGCCTACATAGGCCTTCGCACCAACAGGGCACATGTTCTGCTGTTTCTTCTTCATCTTAGCAATATTCGTACAGGCTAGTTTCTACCACTCTGAGTCTATATATATGACCCTGGAGTCTGCAGTGTCCAATTAGCAGCCCAGCAATTATTCTAGTACACAATTAATTACAAACAATTTTTCATTAAAAAAATTGTGTATAATTAATTAAATACAATTATAATTAAAAATACCTTATTAAAAAATAATAAAAGTTGGTATTATTCTAGTCCTAGTATGTCCCAGATTTAGTGTTCTGCCATTAGTTTCTGCGATGGACCTTTGATAAGCTTTTTTGCATGCCTCTGTCCAAGGGTACATTCCCATTGAGCGAAGGACTTATTTTTAATCCATGTCTAATTTTTTGGCAGTTTGGCCAACAGGTCCACAAAAGGGTCCAGGGCCAATAGGTGTCCTCATTGAACTTTCCTGGGCCAAATTATCGGCCTTTTCATTGCCCTTCTGCCCGGTGTGCCACCCAGACAAGGTAATTTTATTATTTTCCCCCAATGTCTGACAGGGCTCTAATGTAGTCCCAAATGACTCTAGACTGTACCATCCCAGCTCGAGGTGGTGTTTTGTCATTTAGATAAATAAGGATAGAGTAGATAAATTTTTACACACACACATTCAGAGAGAGAGAGAGAGAGAGAGAGAGAGAGAGAGAGAGAGAGAGAGAACTGATTTTAATGATAATAGTAATTTTTAGTAATTATTTTGCCTTTATTTCAAATATAATTCCCATAGGGGAGCCACGATCTTGTTCTAACGCTGAAAGAACCTTGAAAAATTAGTTTATAAAAAAATATATTCTACTATTGGGAATTATATACTGTAAAATATGAAAATGTATCATTCTCATTAGCAATTAAGCAAAATATGAAAAAATAATATTGGAAATTAAATAATAATAATATTTTTATAAAAATTCTAAATCGATCAGTTAGACTTCTAGGTCATCTCTATAAACCCTCGGTTATGGAGTTTTGATCAAATTAAATCAAATAACGTTTGCCCAACGTAAACAATAGTTAAAGATTGAGCTCAGTCTAATTCCAAAAGATAATTCCGCGGAAATGATATTGGGGGTCGTGATCTCCTCTATCTTACGTTCTGGTTAAAACCAGTTTGCCGCTTCCACTCAACCCCCTATTAATTAATTTAAAGATAACAATTTTTTTTCTTCTCGATCTTATATATACATAACATTGAGTAATTCGTAAGCTTCCTTCGTTAATTGACTATTTCAACTGATTTGAATCATTCACAAAAATAAACACTTTGTAATATTTTTGTATTTTAATTAACAGATCAATATCCAATATTATTAATCTGTACTAATTTAAAAAAACACAATTTTTTCTTTTAGTATAACTTATTTTTTATGTAGATTATAACCTTAAACTGTTAAATATGATTTGTACAAAAACAGATAAAATAATGCATGCATAAAAATTTTCTGTTATACTAATTCAATAATTCACAATAAAGGGGCTGTCTTTATGCTTATAAAATTTTAGAAGATATAACCTTAAAATACTTTATCTTGGCATAAAAAAGTGATAGTGAATTTGTTATATAGTTTGGGGTTTTATAATTGATATTAGGCTATCTATTCATTTTTGACCATTTGCTTTGGAAAACAGAATTTCAATATTGTCACCTTTTTTATTTACAATTTTGGGGAGAAGATGGTTCCCATGGAATACAGATGATGAGGAAGTGGATCTAATAAGGGTCATAGACTATTTTGACTTACAAATGAATATAAATTGCCATGATTTTATACTTTAATGTAATGATTTTATATTGCTTAATTACTAATTATTGTATAAATATATAATAAAATAGTAACCATTATATTTCAACACATTGAACTACTAAAAGAGCTGTTTTTTAATGAAAAACAAACCCTAAACATTTAAAATTTATAAATAGGCTATGTGATTATAATTAATTAGTATTTGTATCAATCAAGGGGAGAAGGATAACAAATTATCTTGGCATGGATTGACAGTCTCCAGGATCATTGGTCTCCATGTATTATCAACTTTTACTGTGATTTCTTTTAAAATTTAATATTCTGGGATTATTATATTCAGCTAATATTTCTTTTTCTTGGATACTTTGATTGTAAAATATATGTACAAATCTATCTGGCAATACTTTGTCATTCTCACGTTTTACATCGCTAATTTTTGATGAACATGAAGCATATTTATATGAATTATAATTAAAAAGGATTTCATTTTGATTTTAAACAAGCCAAAAGCACTTCCTTGTCGTTTTTGTACACCAATTTGTGCAATTGCTTTTAATACTTTAAAAGTACATAAAAGACCAGGCATGAACTTTTATGTAAAGATAAAGAATTTCTTTTTTTTTATCATTGTACTAAATTTTATCAGAGCCAAAACCCATTCTCAATTTCTTAATCTTATAATTATTTTTATTATTTTTTGTTGTTATTCAACCATTGAATATTGTCATTATATAACAAAGCATACATATTTTTAAAAAAAATGCCGATAGCAAGTTACCAAATCAGGGCAACCCAGTCATCATATTCATGGAAGTATACAAGAAATGTTGATTGAATCAAAAGTAAAAGGATGAAATATGCTAGAAAATATGTTTAAGTTGGAACATACAGCTGGAAAAGGCAGCCAGAGATGATTTTTTTTTTTCAATTTAAAGTGAGAAATTCCTTGATGAGGCCTGTTAGGTGAAAAAGTTTAGAAGCAAGTCAAGACAAGTATGAACAAAAAAAGCCCAAATATACAACGTCATAACCAAACAACACCAAAATTTTTAATAAATCATAACATAAATTAAAAAATAACTACAAGGAATTAGAAATGATTTTTTTTTTAGTATAATCAAAGGTAGCCTACAGTTAATAAAAGATTAAAGCGAAAAAAAAATAATAGTATTTTTCTACCAACATGATGAAGAAAAATAGTCGTTTTGAAATAATAAAAGAAAACAGTTCTATCATTTTATACTAGGAATATTCATTGTAGATTCAAATTAATTGTTTTTTTTTTCTCTTATTTTTTCTATTGTTCGGTTTCTCTTTGCAATGATAACAAATTAAATATAGTAATTATTCCCTTCCTCACCAATTTAGATATGACAATAAAAGTCTAGATCTTTCTTAAA